GAGAAGAGAGCTGCAGAATAAAGTTAGAAAGATGGGGAGGACATGGAGAGGACCTGGGGAGAGCTGCATGGGGTAGCAAAAGATAGAATGACTAGGTGTGAGTTCGTTGAGGGCCTATGCTCCATTCGGGGCTAGAAAGGCAGAAGAAGAAGCAGATTACAGCAGACAGAAATATACCTGTACAATATTCTGGCGATCAATACTTTTTCTTCGTTCAGGGCAAAGTTTTGTCCTATACAGTTTCTCGAGCCTGCAGAGAAAGGTGTGAAGGCAAAGCTGTCTCTGTCCTTGGTGTTTTCTGGAAGGAAGCGTTCAGGTCTGAATTCATCAGGAGCTTCCCAGACTAGTGCATTTCTGTGTAGATGGATAATGGGGATGGTCACATTTGTTCCTGCAGGCAGCAACTTGCCACCAATCTCCAGCGGTTCACTCAGCAACCGCTGAATAAATGGCACAGGAGGGTACAGACGAAATGACTCCTTGATACATAAGTTGAGCATCTTCAGTTTAGGGAGATCAGACCTGAGAAAAAAAATGCCACAAAATGGATCGATATTCATCTACTATATAATTATTAACTCTGTCAGTTCCACAAAGTTTCTAGCTAATGTTCTATGGAGTTCAGAATGGCAATACTACTTACTTGACCGGCATGGGCAGGTCATTATCCTACATCTCAGGACAGGACATAACAAACTTAACCAGCATATGCACAAGCTTCGTCTAAGTAGTTCACCTTTGTGCCCTTGTGGGCTATGTGTGCAGACTACATGTCCTGCAAGACTGTCCCTTGTTCAGCACATTAAGAAAGGAATACTGGCCCAGTGAGTCACCACTGCATGCAAAGTTGTATGGAACTAAAAATGAACTCATAAAAACAGTCAAGTTTATCACAAGAACCTGTCTGTCGGTGTAAATCAGAAAGCGAACACAAGAAGAAGAAGAAGAATGGCAATACTAAACTCATGGGTATACCACTTCCAGAAATGTTAAATATACAATCCCTGCAGCAAACAAATATTTTCTTACTCACTAAACATAAGATGTTTGCTGGTTAGTTATTTGCCATTTATCCTTTACAGGATGTTGCAAAACCAACCCCAGCATTTTTTGGGGGCTGTTGTGGTTTTTATAGGCACATTTTACTTTCAGTAGTTTGCCACTGCTTCTAAATGGTCCCCTCTTGGAACCACTGTCGAAACCAGCACAAGACAAAAAGTCCACAGCTGGAATCAAACCCGACACCCCAGCATTACGAAGCGTGTTCGCAAGGCCTAAGCCACAGATGCCGACTGGTACATGTGAATAATACTCAGCCACACGCAGTGAATTGTTTTGGGCCAGAAAGAGTTAACTGAGGAATAATACACCGTTTCAATAAGTACATCCGTTTTCAACAAAAATTTTTTTAGCTTGGTTTTTTAGTAAAATTTGACTGCCCCTAAGACAGGCAAAGCAGTATGACTGTCTCTCTCTTCATATGGTTAATTCTCAGAACTGCTTTTTTTTGTGTGTGTGTATGTGTGGTATGCAATGGTACATAGTACTAGCACCTGTTGTTTTTTAAATCACCTAGGGCATGCTGCTGCAACTGACACTTTGTGGTGAGTACCGCCATCTTTCTTTTTATAGAAACTCTGTCGTATCAACGTCTTTTTTCTTCAATAGACACTTTGTGATGAGACCAGATCTACTTTCTTCTAGAAAAAGAGCCTTGTTCACACTTGTCCTGCCTATCATGGCAGATCTGATCTGTATCTAAGCCACTGTTAAGCATAGCTCATAAGGTTAATGAAACTCTTTAGCCACTGTGGCACATTAAAGTGGACACTAATATGGCCTAACGGCTGAAAGGGGTTTCTGGGACCGCTCCATGGATGATCCTCATCCGCTTGGTGGCACTTTGTGTCACAGGGTCTTTATCGCTTGTGTGATGTCCTGGTGGGGTACAACACAAGAGAGAGAGAAAGAGACAGAGAAAAAGAGAGAGAGAGGCCTGCAGAATGTGCTCAGATGTTCATAGTCCCATCTGTGTGCAGTTTCTATTGTATGCTTGTGGTAGTCTCGCCTGCAGGGTCCTGTTCTTAGACAGAAGAGTGTTGTATGCCTCAACAAATCAAATAGATCACATATGTATAAACAAAAAATTTAGATCATCCTTTTATGATGTTAGGGCTTTCAGAGGTCCCAATGTATTTACTGACCATTTTCTGTTGGTAAGTAAAATAAAAATAGACATGTAGACGGGAGCTAGAGAGTAAAGTTAAAAGATGGGGAAGACATAGGGAGAGCTGTATGCCAACGACTTGGCGTGAGTTGGTTGAGGGCCTATGCTCCAATCTGGGTTAGAAAGGCAGAAGAAGAAGAAAAATGAATGTATGAATGCTATGCCCCCCCCCCCCCTTTTCTTTCCAAAGATATGTGTAAGGCTGACACTAAGATACAGAAGTACAGGAGGTTTACCATTCAATATGATCAGAGTCTCTGCCTTTTAAGACTTCATCCAGCTCTGCCTGGACCTGTGTCTGGTACTCAGGATGTTTAGCAAAACAATAGAGAATCCACGGGGCTCCTGCAGCTGTGGTGTCATGACCTGTGAGCACAGATATGGGTGCTTTCTTAATATCCTATCCCAAAAGGGAAATCCACAGGACAGTATAATATTTCAGGGGGTGGTAAAAGGCTGCATACAGTCGTGGGACCTAGGCTGCACTCTCTTGTGGGACTTAGGTGGGTTGGGGTTAGGGTCTGGATGTTTTGGGGTTGTTAAAAGCATCAGGCAGCCAGGAAACCCATCTTACCACCCTCTAAAATGTTGGTGTGTCCTGTGGTCATCTGGGGTAGGATATTACGAAAGAACCCAGATACGGATTATTACATGGGAGTTTCAAATGAGAACCTAAGCTAAAATATTTATTAATTTCTTCTCAAACCCACATGCCCTAGCACAAAAATGAAAATGATATTAGTGATCAGTGATGATTATCTTTCTAATGCTCTGTACGGATCCATAAGTGCTCTGATCTTCTCCTCAAAAGCTCCAGAGGAGTAAAACGACTGATGACACCTGCTCTGTGTTGATTAATGAAATGTCTTGTCCCTCTGGTGAAATGTTCATTTTTGGAAGCTCAGGCTGCACCCCCAGTTCCATCAACCTGGACAAGGATATAGAGTCATGCCCTTTGGTATAATCGTCCTCATGGTAAGTGCTGTGCATGGCACTGCTAACGTGTCTTGTATCCAGAACTGGACAGCCATAGCAACCACAGTGTCTGCAAGATAATCTGCACGCTCGTTCCTTCAAACACCTGCATGACCCAATACCAAGATGAAGGTTAGGCAGGTCATTCACAAAGTGCTAAGTGACACAATCGATTCTTGTCTGAGGAAGGCAGCCTGGACTTTCTCAAGCATATTCACTGAGTCACTAAGTATGCACACTTGTGTGAACTCTGGAGTACCCAGCCATACTGATGCTGTTGTTATAACTAGTTTCCATTGTAAGGGTACTAATTGTAACAGCAAAGGTGCCATTCATCTCCTTAATGGTTCCCCTCCTTGAGCTCACTGTTAATGCCCATGCATTTAGTATAATATTTGCCAGCCATAAACTCCTTGAAAACACCAACTAGCATCTTTGTGCCTGGTTTATCTCATTCTTCTGAACATACTGAGTCACTGAGACGGGATAACTGGGTGATTATCATGTTTCCAGTTAGACTACTGAGATAATGATTTACTGATTTAAGAATGTTGAATCTGAATGTTGAATTAAGAATCGACATCACAGCACCCCCATAAGCGCTCTGTCACCATCTTCAGCAGCAAGCTAAGAGTTAAAATTTCGATGGTACCAGTAACTGTCTGACTGTATATCCGTCTCTCCTTTCCCCTTGAGTGTCGAGCGTCAGCCAGATCCCCTTGTAACTCCTCGCAGTGCAGTTTTCCTCAGACCGTAATGATCTATCTGTGCCTCAGCACTGTTCACTCGCTCCCAAAAGGCCCTCGCAACATCCAGCTTGTCATACATCAGTTCACTACCAAGTGGTGCAGAACTGGCCAGTCTATCTGCCTATTCATTTCCCAACACACCAGCATGACCTGGTGAAAATATCCACAGGATGCTAACTACCAGGGACCTCAGAAGGATGCTTGCTACTCTGCACGGAGCATGACTGTCTCCACTTTTCTCAGCATGCTCTCTGAGTCAGTTACAATGATGACATGTGTGCACAGCTGATTTAAGTGTAAACATTATAGTGTACCGGGCATACCCATAGATACTCTGTCCCCCACAGTAAATGCCTTGAGGTGTAGATGCTAACTGTTCTCAAAGCACACTGATGTGATTATAAACTCATCATTCTCTTCCTTTCATATGTCCTCCTTGCCTGATCCACACCTAAATCCTTGTTCACACATTCTTGCACATGCTATTTTTTATCTAACCTCATGTCTTCTGTCAGCATTCACTCATAAATGGGCATCAGAAAGCCCCCAGTGTCCAGTATGAGTGTTCCTGTAGCCATCGTTTTTGTAGTCAGACAATCTGCTCTCTCAATTCCTCACACTCCTGCATATCCTTGACATAACTGAGACAGTTACAAGAATGCTTCACTTAGAGAATCACTGACCTGCAAACATGAATGTGTCCACTTCATTTCTGATCTCGAGTAAGGTCATTGGCTGGCCGTCTTCATCTCTAGCTGTCAACAGAATGTCCAGAAAGTCTAGGTGGCGACCTTTGGGTCGACCTTCTCGTTCCTAATAACAACCAAAAGCATGACCTATAATACATTACTGGCACTGTGCCAACGTCAATTAAGTGCGAAACTGTTGTTGCTAGAAAACTGGGTTGGAATACTGAAATCAAATCTTCTTCTTCTTTCTTCTTTGCGGTCACCAGCTGTAAACTCTGGTGGAAAATTCTGGTTGTTCATCCACTTCTGGACTGCAGTTCTGTTCCAAAACCTGAGTGTTGCGTGTGCATCTGTTTTACAGATCTGACTCATTTGTGTGCAGACTGCTGGTTCCTTGCCTCTCAGGCAGATGCACTCTGACTTTGAAGAAAACTGAAATCAAATGAAAATTATCTAGTTGCATGAAAAGCAATACTTCTTCATCTTTTTCACGCTCACCGGCTGTAAATTCTGGTAAACAGTTCTGGTTGTTTGTTCACTTCTGAGCTTTAGACTTGTTCCAGAACTAGAAATTTGCATGCACATCTGTTTTACAGATTTGGCTTGCATGTATGCAGCCTGCTAGTTCCTTGCCTCTCAGGCAGTAATTTAGAAGGAAACACCACTAATTAGTCAACTCCTATTCGGACAAATATTCGGCCAAATGTTCTCCAAAATATCACCCTGGAACTCACAGAAGGACATCTGAATATTGAAATCAAAATGCAAAATGTGCAGTTGGATGAAAGGTAATTAAAAAGAAAAAAAAAAAGTGAATAAAATAAATCATTTTGACTCATCTTATCATCATCATCAAGTGCCTTGCCAGCTGGCGTAGGCGTTTATACGTCGCAATAGATCTCAGTCTTTGGTGTTCTGGGTCAATTCTTCTGATGATATTCCTCTATGCCACTGTCTCAAACCATCCACCATCATTTCTCTTGACCTGGGAGTCAAGGTCATTTTTGAAAAAAGTCCGGCTTCACGATCTTCTGATCCGCACACAAGTGTCTAGCCGTTACGCCACATCGACTCCCACAACCCACTATTGCCTCAATGCATATGGTATACATAAAAATAACTATTATGAGCTCCAGAAAGGAAGAATATGCCGGTTACAAAAAGTACTAGAAAACAAAAGCAATGGCTGATCATCTTGCATGCATCCTTAATAAAAACTACGAGTACATATTCATCAAGAAACCCTCATCAAAAACCATGAGTGATCATCTTGCATGCATCCTTAATAAAAACAACGAGTACATATTCATCAAGAAACCCTCATCAAAAACCATGAGTGATCATCTTGCATGCATCCTTAATAAAAACTACGAGTACATATTCATCAAGAAACCCTCATCAAAAACCATGAGTGATCATCTTGCATGCATCCTTAATAAAAACTACGAGTACATATTCATCAAGAAACCCTCATCAAAAACATGAGTGATCATCTTGCATGCATCCTTAATAAAAACTACGAGTACATATTCATCAAGAAACCCTCATCAAAAACCATGAGTGATCATCTTGCATGCATCCTTAATAAAAACTACGAGTACATATTCATCAAGAAATCCTCATCAAAAACCATGAGTGATCATCTTGCATGCATCCTTAATAAAAACTACGAGTACATATTCATCAAGAAACCCTCATCAACAACCATGAGTGATCATCTTGCATGCATCCTTAATAAAAACTACGAGTACATATTCATCAAGAAACCCTCATCAAAAACCATGAGTGATCATCTTGCATGCATCCTTAATAAAAACTACGAGTACATATTCATCAAGAAACCCTCATCAAAAACCATGAGTGATCATCTTGCATGCATCCTTAATAAAAACTACGAGTACATATTCATCAAGAAACCCTCATCAAAAACCATGAGTGATCATCTTGCATGCATCCTTAATAAAAACTACGAGTACATATTCATCAAGAAACCCTTATCAAAAACCATCAGTGATCATCTTGCATGCATCCCTTGTAAAAACCATAATTCATCATCTAGTAATCAAAAATCATGAGAGAAAATACTGTCTGGTAACAAAGGAACATACTGTGTAATTACAAGGGAAAGTACTGTGTGATATCAAGAAAAGATACCATATAATGGTAAGGGAAAGTACTGTGTGATGACAAGGGAAAGTACTGTGTGATGACAAGGGAAAGTACTGTGTGATGACAAGGGAAAGTACTGTGTGATGACAAGGGAAGGTACTGTGTGATGACAAGGGAAAGTACTGTGTGATGACAAGAGAAGGCACTGTGTGATGACAAGGGAAAGTACTGTGTGATGACAAGGGAAAGTACTGTGTGATGACAAGGGAAAGTACTGTGTGATGACAAGGGAAGATACTGTGTAATGACAGAGAAGGTACTTTGTGATGACAAGAGAAGATACTGTGTGATGACAAGAGAAGATACTGTGTAATGACAAAGAAGGTACTTTGTGATGACAAGAGAAGATACTGTGTGATGACAAGAGAAGATACTGTGTGATGACAAGAGACGGTACTGTGTGATGACAAGGGAAAGTACTGTGTGATGACAAGGGAAGATACTGTGTAATGACAAAGAAGGTACTTTGTGATGACAAGAGAAGATACTGTGTAATGACAAAGAAGGTACTTTGTGATGACAAGGGAAGATACTGTGTTATGACAAGGGAAGATACTGTGTAATTACAAAGAAGGTACTCTGTGATGACAAGAGAAGATACTGTGTGATGACATGAGAAGATACTGTGTGATGACAAGAGAAGATACTGTGTGATGACAAGAGAAGATACTGTGTATTGACAAATAAGGTACTTTGTGATGACAAGAGAAGATACTGTGTAATGACAAAGAAGGTACTTTGTGATGACTAGAGAAGATACTGTGTAATGACAAAGAAATTACTGTGTGATCACAAGAGAAGATACTGTGTGATGACAAGGGAAAGTACTGTGTGATGACAAGGGAAAGTACTGTGTGATGACAAAGTACTGTGTGATGACAAGGTACTGTGTGATGACAAGAGAAGTACTGTGTGTGACAAGAGAAGATACTGTGTGATCACAAGAGAAGATACTGTGTGATGACAAGGGAAGGTACTGTGTGATGACAAGGAAAGTACTGTGTGATGACAAGGGAAGGTACTGTGTGATGACACGGGAAAGTACTGTGTGATGACACGGGAAAGTACTGTGTGATGACAAGGGAAGGTACTGTGTGATGACAAGAGAAGATACTGTGTGATGACAAGAGAAGATACTGTGTGATGACAAGGGAAGGTACTGTGTGATGACACGGGAAAGTACTGTGTGATGACAAGGGAAAGTACTGTGTGATGACAATGGAAAGTTCTGTGTGATGACACGGGAAAGTACTGTGTGATGACAAGGGAAGGTACTGTGTGATGACAAGAGAAGATACTGTGTGATGACAAGAGAAGATACTGTGTGATGACAAGGGAAGGTACTGTGTGATGACACAGGAAAGTACTGTGTGATGACAAGGGAAGGTACTGTGTGATGACACAGGGAAAGTACTGTGTGATGACAAGGGAAAGTACTGTGTGATGACACGGGAAAGTACTGTGTGATGACAAGGGAAAGTACTTTGTGATGACAAGAGAAGATACTGTGTGATGACAAGGGAAGGTACTGTGTGATGACACGGGAAAGTACTGTGTGATGACAAGGGAAAGTACTTTGTGATGACAAGAGAAGATACTGTGTGATGACATGGGAAAGTACTGTGTGATGACAAGGGAAAGTACTGTGTGATGACAAGAGAAGATACTGTGTGATGACAAGAGAAGATACTGTGTAATGACAAAGAAACTACAGTGTGATGACAAGAGAAGGTACTGTGTGATGACAAGGGAAAGTACTGTGTGATGACAAGAGAAGACACTGTGTGATGACAAGAGAAGATACTGTGTAATGGCAAAGAAGGTACTTTGTGATGACAAGAGAAGATACTGTGTAATGACAAAGAAGCTACTGTGTGATGACAAGAGAAGCTACTGTGTGATGACAAGGGAAGGTACTGTGTGATGACAAGGGAGGCTACTGTGTGATGACAAGGGAAGATACAGTGTGATGACAAGGGAAGGTACTGTGTGATGAAAAGGGAAGCTACTGTGTGATGAAAATGGAAGATACTGTGTTATGACAAGGGAAGCTACTGAGTTATGACAAGGGAAGATACTGTGTGATGACAAGGGAAGGTACTATGTAATGACAAGTTAAGGTACTATGTAATGACAAGGGAAGATACTGTGTGATGACAAGGGAAGCTACTGTGTTATGACAAGGGAAGATACTGTGTGATGACAAGGGAAGATACTGTGCGATGAAAAGGGAGACTACTGTGTTATGACAAGGGAAGATACTGTGTGATGACAAGGAAAGGTACTATGTAATGACAAGGGAAGGTACTGTGTGATGACAAGGATACCGAAATATAACTTACAATCAGCTCCTTTCGTTTGGCAATGACTTCCTCTGCTACTTTATGTACATAATCACAGTTCTTATAAAATCTACGTCCAGTCGGAGTGAGACGGAAAATAAAGTCCGGCCACAGCCATGGGGTCCTATTAAAAAAAGATAAAAAAATAAACAGTGGTTAATTCTTCTTTTTCTTCTGTGCTCAACCTGTCATTTATCTTTTACTGTGTTGCAGTATAGCTAGGCTGTGATATCTTAACCTTCCGGCTCAACACAGCAAGTTTCAACAAACCTTCAACTATTTGCCTTTTATGACATGCTGTATAAGGGGCAGTGGGTCCCCCCCCCCCCCACCCCATGCCACTTCTCAAAATTGGACTCCAGATCCCACATGGGGGGGGGGGGGGGGAATGTTAATTAATGATCTTCTTCTTCTTTGGCATTTTGAGCCATTGAGGTTCACTGCTGTAGCTATCACCCACCGCCATTTATCTCTCTGGTTGGCCTTCTCTTTCCAGTTGGTGACACCAAGTGTTTGCAGGTCTGTCTGGACATTATCTCTCCATGTTCTTCTTGGTCTGACTTCCTTGTGGTCTACGACCATTCATCTCCCTTGTGTTTACTTCTCTGTGATCTGACATTCTTTTAATATGCCCAAACCATTTAGTCTATTAGCTATCACGATACCAGTAATCACATTGTAAATTTCGTTATTGCTTCTCACTCTCCATCCCCTTCTGTTTACATATTTGATGGGCCAAAAAATTTGTTGTAAGACTCTGTTTTCGAAAACCTGTAATAAGGCTTCATCTTTTGTAGTTGTGCTCCAAGTTTCAGAGCCATATAAAATGACTGGTCTTATCAACGTTTTATATCTTGATCTTGGTGTTGTGAGACAGACACTGTGACTTTAGCAGATGTTGAAGGGCAAAGTATACCTTTTTTCCAGATTGTATTCTAGATTGTATTTCTTCTCTCAGCATGTTGGAGCAGTTGAAGTTTGCACCCAAGTACTTATATGTTTCCGTTTGATTTTCATATTATCGACTTGTATGTGGCCAGAGTTTATATCCTTTCCCTGTCTAGTTATTATCATGTATTCTGTGTTATTTTGATTTGTTTATTCATGACAAGACCCCACCCACCCCCCAATTTTTTTTTTTTTTTAAATTACAGAGTCATGTAATTTATGAATGATGTGCCATTTACTTTACCTCTTTTGCATAGTAGGCAGGGGATCTTTGAGCCTGAGGATTTAAGGCCGCATGGCTAGTGCTGCTGCCTTGAACTGTCCAGGTTGGGTTTTTATTTTTGCCCTCGACAGAACAAAAAAAAACCACAGTCTTACTTAGGGTTCCCACCTGGGTCTCCCAGCAGCGCTGTTAGGCTACTCTTTTTGATTTCCAAATGTCAAGGGATTTTTTACGTCTTACTATCCAGAGACCAGGGAAAATTAATAGAAGTTCACGTTAAAAAATCCTAGCCTTTTATCGGGGCCTGAACCCTGGAACTCCAGCACTCAAGGTCTGGAATAAATTGGTCTGGAAATGAATGAAGATAAAGCTTTGTTGGGACATGCAATTGCTATTCGTAAAGATTAGAAAAGATGACCAAAATATTTCATGTTTAAGGTATTCTGAGCTACCTATGTGTCAATCCTAACCTGTGGGTGTGAGCCACGGGCAATGACGCCAGCTCACAGAAGCCAGCTTGAGGTCTCTGATGACATATCAGAGAGAGGTGATCCAAGTGACCAGAAGGGATCCCAAGTTCGTAATCAGAGAAGACATCAGTATCTTGAACCCAAGCCTGAAAAACTCGAGTGGATCAGTCAAAATGACGACAGTTTGTACATGTATGTCAAATAGGATATGATGGCAGACATGGGGGGGGGGGGGGGGGGGGGGGGGCCAAGAACCAGAAAACCAGACCACTAGGATGACCCAGGGTTCACTGGGAAGACAAAGCGGGACAGTCCCTGACTGACACAGGACTCGAATGGAACAAAGCTAAAAAAAAAGAAAACTGCCGATAGAGAAGTCTGGCGATCTCTCTGATCTCTCTTAAACCAAGGTAGAAGAGAAGTGACTTAGTTAGTAAGTAGATATTCTGTAGCATTTCAGCTCAAAAGCCCCCATTTTGTTCGTCATCACGAGTGATGAAGATTGCTTTTCATCCAAATTTGATTCGTCGACCTCACTCTCTCTCGCCTGTCCATCTTGACCCAATGGCAGGACAATGTCGAGACCATCGGAAACAGACTTAGGTGCAGTGGGATGACCAAAGCATCTTAAGTGCCCTGCCTTGCTCGATGCTCTCCACACAGTCTGCTGGTAATCACCTTGTGTTGAACCATAAGAGGTTTCATCTGCACAATCCACCTAATCCATTCTTTGCATGCAGGGTAAGCATATCCCAATCACTGAGTGGTTTAGATTCAGGTCGGCTACCCTCTCCTGGTTTAGCCATCCCGACAAAGGTGTTGCCCGCAGGAAGAGTGGTGGCAGCCGCTGTCCAAACACCCCTATTTTCTTATAGACACACACAAGACTTGAAAAAAAAAAAAAACAACAACAAACACACAAGATTAACCAAATGAGTCAAGATAGAAAAAATAATATAAAGAAAAGTAATCTTAGTAAAACAACATCATACAGACACATAAAAGAATTTACCTTGATCTTAGGGCCCAAGCCTGGGTAAGCTCTGTAGAAGCCTTGGCATACTCATTCGGCCTGAAAATGACCCAACATATTTAATTTGAGACTGTGATATTAGGATTCTGTCAACAAATGTACATCAGTGATATCCATTTTGAAATCATTCTTTTATTCACAAAAAATGCTTACAATCAATACAGGGGTGAGTCAGGAATGTGTGTCCTCTCCTCTCTTACTTACTATATACAAAGAATATGAAAAGAAACCAACTCAGGGGAAAGGCGAGATGGATATACAATCAGACAGTTACTGGTACCATCGGAATTTTAACTCTTCGCTTGCTGCTGAAGATGGGTATGGAGCACTTATGGGGGTGTCCCGAGTGCTGTGATGTCAATTTGTAAATTTCAACATTCAACACTGAAAAGAAACCAGCTCTAAAGCAGTCGACCTAGAAAATCAAGAAATTTTAGAAAAGCCGCCAATTAACCCTCTGAAACAAAGTTAGAAATGATATTATCAGACAGAAGGTAGGAACAACACCACGCAGAACATTCAGTGAGAAACAGAAGATCACATGGTCTGGTCAGCTAGTTATAATGCAGCCAGAACAACTACCAACACAGGCCTACATATGAAAAGATGTGAAGTGAAAGCAAGAGGTCGCTCTAGCAGATGATGGTTTTATGATATTAAAAAGTTTCTACATAGACAAAGCATAGGAATAGAGGGAGGCCAAAAAACATATGGAGAAGGGAGCTGAAGAATGAAGTCAGAAAGATGAGAAGGACATGAGGAGAGATGCATACGATAGCAAAGGATAGAACGACTTGGCGTGAGTTGGTTGGAGGCTTAAGCTCCATTGGGGGCTAGAAAGACAGAAGAAGAAATTGACAGGGAATGATAACGGCCATTGCTGCCCATCAAGCAATGGACTGCAAACTGTTGCTCCCCACAACGCTTAAAAAGATGATGATGATTATGAAGACATGAAAGATGCATATCGCAAAAATGATTATGGCGATAAGTGTGACTCTGTATCTCCGTTAAGTATGATGACATGGGGGTGGGGGAGGGGGGGGGGGGGGAAGGGTGAGGGTAGGTGTATTCAGGATTTGCCAGACATATTCATTTCATTAAGGGTACGAGATATTTGACTGATCTACACAGAGCAACTGTGACCAGTCATTGTATGGTTGAATGTTGAATTAAGAATCAACATCACAGCACTCACGACACTCCCATAAGTGCTCAGTCCCCATCTTCAGCAGCAAGCAAAGAGTTCCGATTCCGATGGTACCAGTAACTGTCCGATTGTATATCTGTCTCATTATTTCCCTGAGTACTGAGCGTCGGCCAGATCCCCTGGTAACTCCTCGCAGCGCCATTCTCCTTAGACCGTAATGATCTATCTGCGCCTCCGCACTGTTCACCCGTTCCCAAGGGCTCTCACAATATCTAACTTGTCATACATCAGTTCACCACCAAGTGGTGCAGAGCCAGCTGGCCTATCTGCCTGCTCATTTCCCAACACACCGGCATGACCTGGAGAAAATATCCTACAGCTACAGGTAAAGGAACACAGCAGCTATAGATTTGTTCCGTACACTATAGTGAATCATCATCACTAATCACTATTCTATCTTTTCAGAGCTTGCCATAATGTCTGAATCTTCATCTAATGCTTTGCCAGCTGGCACGGGTGATCATGTCCTCCACAACCTGCAGTCTCCAACAGCATTCCTAAGCTTATGTGCTGATACTACTTCTTGCCATGATAACAGGCAATAGACCTATATTTTATAGACCAACTGGAACTTAGTGGGTGAAATGGTCAGCATCAGGCCAGCCACCTTTACTTTCCAGGACTCTACCTGGTATCTATTCAAGTCCAGTACTGTCAGCACCCTAAAACACAACCTTCTGATCAGTCGAGCCACTACACCATGGCGGCTCTCTGGATTTAGACTGCAATATCAAATTATTAAAATAAACACAAGATAATACAAGGAGTAACAAAAGAAAAAAAAAGATGTTACGAAGAGGATATGAACATTACCCTTGTCGTTGAACATCTCCCTCATAACTCATGGCACATTTCAGAATCACCTCCAGGGTACACAAGGTCAACAGAGGGCATATATCAAAGCTTTCTCCAGACTTTGCATACTGATCCAGTTTCTCCTAAGAAAATAAACTGAGACTTAGTATAAAAAGTGTAGCTCTGTGTTTTAGAGATCACTGAGTGAATTTCACAATCATTTATGTAACCTACGCTCACCGCGGATTGGAAGGTCGTGGGTTCACTTCCTGGCAGAGCCGGAGTTTAAAAAAAAATGACCTTGGCTCCCAGCCTTGAGTGGGTACCGGGTGCGGTCCCGGGAAGTAGAGGCGGCCGGCGTAATGCTTACCACATCACCCATCTTGTGTCGATTGGTCCATAACATTTTGTTTAGCTCTAGCCCTATATGCCCTATACGCCTAAAGGTGTGGAAAAGGGTCCTTTACTTTTTTTTCCCTTTCATGTAACCTTCCAAGGGTTTCATTTCTGAGAGACAAACAAGTTAGGAATGACAATTCTCATGACTTCTTGGGAGTGGTCTAAACTCCAGCACATACATGTCATGATAGTAACTGACTGACAGAGCTTATTAAGAAAGGTGTGGAAGGTATGCACCATGCAGAGTGGCAAGCATAGCTTTAGAGGTTCTGGGAATTTAGTGTCCTTTGGAATTTTCTCCAGGATATGCTAATGTGTTGGGAAATAAACAGGCAGATAAAGCGGCTGGTTCTGCACCACTCTGTGGTAAACTAATCTATGCCAAGCTAGGTGTTGTAAAGGTTCTTCAGGAGCAAGTATATTAACTACTTCGGACAGGGCTCATTTTGTTGATACTTTATTTGGATGTGTCAGTGAATGTGTGATGAGTTCTCTGGTAAAAACCAAAAAAAGTTAAATTTACTTAGACCACACCCCCGCCACTTTTCCACCTCCCCAGCATTGTCTCAGTACCTTCTCTTCCCCTCCCTTAAAGGGAGCAACATCACCCACCATAGGCAACACTGGATTAACTCTTTAAGTACCATGTTTGTCAGGAGATTTTAAGGGAAGAGAATGATGTGAAAACTATTTTTAAAAAATCAAATATGATTAGCCTTTGAAGAGACCACATAGATATTAAAGTGATTGAAGGAGAAGCCAGATTTTCTTAGTATGTTGTGACCAAATAAAAGAAGTAAAGGAATGATGCAATGGTTGGAATTTGTAGGTAATAGCGAATGACACCTCATGCATTTCTTGGGAGAGAAAGAGTTAAGTTACTCACAAACAATATGTCAGCTGCCTTGTTGTAGACTTCAATGTAAGGCTTCAGAATGTCAAAGTGAAATGCTGGTGTCAGCAATCTCCTTGACCTGGCCCAGATGGCTCCGTTGGAAGAAATCAAGCCTTCTCCGATCCAGGGGATGGCGTGTTCATAGATCTGGCCGAAGCCACGAGATTTGGGGGCTGCAGCAAAGAAACAGTTATAGAAACAGTCATAGAAACAGTCATAAAAGCAGTGTTGAGCCAAAAACTCACTATTAAATCTCCAAACCACGTAAACGTTCGTGGGTCTGGTTCAAGACAAAACTGTAAAAGAAGATAGTGGAACTGATGCCTTGACTACAAGCAGTCTGACCATGGAGGTGATGGAGGTAACAAAAGCAATGATGTGGCTTCAGACATCAATTTTTCCATGCGTGCTTTCAAAGTAATTCCATGAGCATGCTTAAGAAGATAGAGTCAGGTTCAATTCAAAGAAGATAGGTGGAGTTGCTGAGGAAATCTTGTCTGAAAGGAATTAGTTTCATTTTTTGTGTCAGAGCACTTTGGGGTAAGAGAGAAAGAATAAGCGGACTGGCTTGTTGGCAGGGATATGGTAGGTACAGGAAAAGCAATGGACCAGGCCAACATTCTCAATGCTCTCAAGGAGGCAGGCTGAAAAGATGATTCAGAAGACGATGTTGAATCGGCAGCACTCAAAAGAATAAAAGACCTTCAGGTCAAAAGAGATGTCGCCAGACATGAACACTATACAGGTAGCCAAAGAAGAATAGTAAACCAACAGAGAATTGGTGATATCAGTCGCCACACACAGAGCGATATACTGAAGATAGGATCCAAGCGATGTGCAATGAGGATCATCATCATCATCAGGTGCCTTGCCGACTGGCGTGGGCGATCATGCCTCTCCATAATGCGCGATCTCCTGCAGCATGTATCAGTTCGTGTGCCGACACACCTCCATGCCATGCAACAAGACTGTCAAGCATCTTCTCTCGTTGTCTTCCTCTATCCCTTCTTCCACAGATATTTCCAGTGGTCACAACATGTTCTATTTTCCCTCTTCTCAAAAAATGGCCGAAAAATGATGACTGTCTCCTTCTGATGTCAGTGATAAGTGCAATGAGGATAATCTGTCCATTTTTACTAACTAGCTAACTGACATAACTAACTAGCTAGCTAGCTAGCTAACTAACTCCAACAACATAACTACATCCATTTATGTGAGACAAGGTAACATACTGGCATGCTGGCCTGGTGATCACAGGTTTCAATCTTCACTGAGGCAGATTTTCAGAATTTACATTGATATGGACTTCCATTTCTTATTCTTCCCTTTTTTTAAAGTCATCTTCTTCTTCGGTGATCTCTGGTCGTGTGCTTTATGCATTATGGGCCATACACGGGGATGTCAGATCGAGGTCTCTTAGTTTTCCCCGAAGCTTAGTTGTCAGGTCAACCAGCCCTGCTGGTTGCTTTGCTGCTCCTCCAGCAGAGAATAAAGTTTCATTTCAATTCAGCCCATAAATCATCATCATCATCATCATGTAGCTGCCAGATTACGCTTCGTCATCTCACATGATCAGCTGAATCATAGATCAGTTAAATAGTTTTGTCGCGTTCCGTCCATCAGAACAGGCCATTCTTTGTCTTCCTCTTGCTCTCTTTCCATCAGTCTTGCCAGTTGTGACTTGAGTTTTTGAGTCCATCCCTTCTCATAATATGTCCAAAAAATATCGTCTGTCCACGTCTAATTGTTCTAATAACTTCATGACTTTCATCCGACTCACTTACGACTTCTTCATTCGTTTTGCGATCCCTCCATGATATAAGCCTACAAAAGGCTAGTGTCTTAATGTCATACACTGACTGTTAACTGGCCTTTAAAAATACAAAGTGAGCACCATATGTCCAATATGTTTAAGGCATGAAAGCAGACCCCTGATTTTTTTTACATTTTCCTGTGTGGGTCCTGGGGTTCCATTTATGAAGGGGAAAGAACCCCCCCCCCCCCCCCTTTTCCCCCCAAGCTAGTCATTAAAGATGATTAATTAGGTTTAACAGATGTGTAGGGCTGAAAGGCACAGATAATGCAGCCTAGCCGTAAACAACCACATAATGTGCCAACCATCTTTCAAGGGGAGAAAAGAAGAAATAGAAGAAGAAGAAGAAGGTGAAGAAGAAGAAGAAGAAGAGGAGGAGGAGGAGAAAAAAGAAGAAAAAGATCCTAACTCAAAGGGAATGAGACAACAGTGTAGTGAGGTAAATGATATTTTTAAAAGTTACGCAGCAGAAGAAGACACTGAAATGGCCAGAGCATATTGAAAGAATGTCAGCTGACAGAGAGGTAACAAAGGTGTACACAAGCAAGTAAATAGTTTAAAGAGTATGATTTGTGGTAAAGGCAGCAGCAGTACGAAAACAGAAGTAGTGGCAGGAGTATTTGAACTAGATAGAGGTGGTAGTAGCAATAGAAGTGGCAGGAGTATTTGAACTAGTGGTGGTAGTAGCAATAGAAGTGCCAGGAGTATTTGAACTACAGGTGGTAGTAGCAATAGAAGTGGCAGGAGTATTTGAACTAGATAGAGGTGGTAGTAGCAATAGAAGTGGCAGGAGTATTTGAACAAGAGGTGGTAGTAGCAATAGCAGTGGCAGAAGTAATTGAACTAGTGGTGGTAGCAACAACAGTAGCAGCAATAGAAGTAGTACTGGCGGGAGTATTTGAAATAGTGGTGGTAGTAGCAATAGCAGTGGCAGGATTAAATGAACTAGTGGTGGTACCAAGCTCATAAACAAATGTTACATCTCTCCCCGACATTTTAATGAGGTACAAGGTGAAGAAGAAGAAGAAGAAGAAGAAGAAGAAGAAGAAGAAGAAGAAGAAGAAGAAGAAGAAGAAGAAGAAGAAGAAGAAGAAGAAGAAGAAGAAGAAGTGGTGATGGTAGCAGCAGCAGTAGCAGCAACAACAGTAGTAGTACTGGCGGGAGTATTTGAACTAGTGGTGGTAGCAACAACAGTAGAAGCAACAACAGTAGTAGTACTGGCGGGAGTATTTGAAATAGTGGTGGTAGTAGCAATAGCAGTGGCAGGATTAAATGAACTAGTGGTGGTACCAAGCTCATAAACAAATGTTACATCTCTCCCCGACATTTTAATGAGGTACAAGGTGAAGAAGAAGAAGAAGAAGAAGAAGAAGAAGAAGAAGAAGAAGAAGAAGAAGAAGAAGAAGAAGAAGTGGTGATGGTAGCAGCAGCAGTAGCAGCAACAACAGTAGTAGTACTGGCGGGAGTATTTGAACTAGTGGTGGTAGCAACAACAGTAGAAGCAACAACAGTAGTAGTACTGGCGGGAGTATTTGAACTAGTGGTGGTAGCAACAACAGTAGAAGCAACAACAGTAGTAGTACTGGCGGGAGTATTTGAACTAGTGGTGGTAGCAACAACAGTAGTAGTACTGGCGGGAGTATTTGAACTAGTGGTGGTAGCAACAACAGTAGCAGCAGCAACAGTAGTAGTACTGGCGGGAGTATTTGAACTAGTGGTGGTAGCAACAACAGTAGCAGCAACAGTAGTTGTACTGGCGGGAGTATTTGAACTAGTGGTGGTAGCAACAACAGTAGCAGCAACAACAGTAGTAGTACTGGCGGGAGTATTTGAACTAGTGGTGGTAGCAACAACAGTAGTAGTCCTGGCGGGAGTATTTGAACTAGTGGTGGTAGCAACAACAGTAGCAGCAACAACAGTAGTACTGGCGGGAGTATTTGAACTAGTTGTGGTAGCAACAACAGTAGCAGCAAGAACAGTAGTAGTACTGGCGGGAGTATTTGAACTAGTGGTGGTAGCAACAACAGTAGCAGCAACAACAGTAGTACTGGCGGGAGTATTTGAACTAGTGGTGGTAGCAACAACAGTAGCAGCAACAGTAGTAGTACTGGCGGGAGTATTTGAACTAGTGGTGATAGCAACAACAGTAGCAGCAACAGTAGTAGTACTGGCGGGAGTATTTGAACTAATGGTGGTAGTAGCAATAGCAGTGGCAGGATTAATTGAACAAGTGGTGGTAGCAAGCTCATAAACAAATGTTACATCGACCCCTGACATTTTGATGAAGTACAAAGTGAAGAAGAAGAAGAAGTGGTGGTAGCAGCAGCAACAGTAGTATTACTGGCGGGAGTAATTGAACTAGTCGTGGTAGCTTCAGTAGTAACAAAAGTTGTAGTTAAAATAGAAGCAGCAGTTCTTGTTATAAAAGTAGCAACAAGAGTAGCAGTTGTTTTAGTTACATCAGCAGCAGTTGTTGTTACAGTTGCCGCAACACGATTCGTTGTTGATACAGTATCAGCAGCTATAGAAACAGCAATAACAGCAGCAGCAGTAGTACAAACCTGAAGATTTGAGAATGGCCTTGACCGTCTCTGGATGATAGACTACTATAGATGGCCGGACAGGTCCTGACCAGAAACGTACATACTTTGGGTTCTTGCTGTCCATGTTGTTACGGCCGTATGCTATCCTTCCTTCGCTAGTCTTCGGAAGCTGTAAATAGAATGTTCCCAGCTGACTTTCAACACCACCCATAACATATACATTTTGATTTGTTTTCTGATACAAGTAGCCGTTTCTACGTGTGAGTTAATTTCTTCACTGTGTGTGCGCGTGCGTGCGTGTGTGTCTGTGTGTGTGTGTGTGTGTGCTGTGTGTGCACCTATGGGGCTTTCATCGTTCATTTATAAAACCACATCTCTGCAACTTTTACATAATTTCTAAAAAATCTGTTGGTTGCCCCATGATTGACTTTTGTGCACCAGGAATGACTCAATACTGCTAACAGAATAAGCGATCCAAGACGCAGTTTTTTATCATGAGACGTAACATGGGCAAGGATTCAATCCCTACTGCTGCCAAAAACTTTTTATGAGGTGACCAATTTGTTGTGAAGCTGGAAATAATGCGGTTCCCTGATCTTTCATTTGACAAAGACAAATAAGGCATTGAAGGTTCTTAATTGGGTGAAATACTGCTTTACTAGACATATTCTACTTCTCTAATACATCTTTCATCTGCTATTATCAAAGTACTCAGTCCACACCTGCAAAAAAATTTGTTTGTGAGGGGGCTAAAGGTACCTGAATCCTTGGATTCCGATCCCCCTGCTGTGAGTGCATTCTTCTTCTACAGCCTTCCGAGTCCTTGAGGTTCATTGCTGCAGATATCACCTGCCTCCATTCATCTCTCTGGCTGGCCTTCTCTTTCCAGTTGGTGACACCAAGTGTTTGCAGGTCTGTCTTGATATTATCTCTCCATCATCTTCTTGGTCTGCCCCATGGTCTACGACCAACCATCTCCCTGGTGTATATACTCTTTACCTCTCTGTCATTTGACATTCTTTCAGTATGCCCCAACCATTTCAGTCTATTATGTGAGTATATATGGAAAGAAAATTCATGTCTGTATACACATGTTTATTTATTCACGTCCAACTTTTCTTCTTCTACGTGTTCACCTGGTGTAAACTTCAGCAAGAAAGTTCTGGTTGTCCGTCCACTTCTGGACTTCAGTTTCTTTTTTCCTTCAGAACTTGAGTTCTGCATGCACATCGGTTTCACAGATCTGCCTTGTTTGTATGCAGACTGTGGGTTTCTTGCCTCTCAGGAAGATGTGCTCCGACTTCAAAGTGAGCTTCCAGTTAGTCGGCTTTGATGGCATGCTTGTTTAATGGCTGTGGGTTTGTTCTTGTTGGCCCAGTGGGCAAATGATGCTAGATTCCCAATTGTGTTGACTAGTCAGCACTAGATATGTGAGGTGGTCAGCGTCATGCTGGCCACCTTTGTTTCCAAGGACATTACCTAGTACCCATTTTAGGCTGGGTCGACCTTGAAGCCCACATAGGTTATGAAAAAAATCTAACCCCCATGGGGATCCAAACCTAAGACCATCGGGTTATTTCCACTATGTTATATTATGTCAACCAACTCACCATGTGAAGATTCCCGGAGATGATGGAGTAACTGGACTCTCCAGGAAACTCCTGGAAATACCTGAACAATTTGATGAACTTGATGGCTTTGCTTAATAAAGCAACAGCTAAAACTGTCACCAGACCGACGGCAACCATTGGCCATATGTGATTCAGCTGGTGAAAAAGTTCCAGCGCCATTTTTGTTGAATTCAAGACGATTCCTGTTAAAACAAAAATAAATAAAAGAGAAACATATTCTTTCTTTATTATGTTAAATAAAAAACAAGTTGTATGTATTGGTGGAGAGACAAAGTAAACATAATGAAATAACCAGAACTACTTTATCTGCTGTATATGTTAAAAAGGACCCTTTTCCTCGCCTTTCAGGCGTATTTGGCATATAGGGATAGACATATATTTTATAGACCAAACTGCACTTTGTGGGTGATGTGGTCAGCATCACGCCGGCCGCCTTTAATCCCTAGGACTGTACCTGGTACCCACTCAAGAGTGGGTTGACCTGGGAGCCAAGGTAATTTTTTTTTAAAAACATCCTCCCAGTCAGGAACCGAACTCACAACCTTCCGATCCGCAGGCAAGCATCTAGTCGCTAGACCGTGGAGGCTCCCGCTGTATATGTTAATGTTAGAAAATTTAAAATGTCACAGCACTACCCTGAATTCTGTTCTAAGAAATAAAAATCACAACCATGTTCAACCTACTGCTGGCTGCAAGCCGTCACTATTCTGGCTGCTGCCGGGGGCACTAATATAACCCAACTTATGGGTTGAACAGTGTTTTCTGAGATCTGTCCCTAGGTAATCCTCATCCTAATGGTGGCACTTTGTGTCGCCGGGTGTTTATCACTCGGTGTGATGTCCTGGTGGGGCTGAACGTCTGTTAGTCAGACACATCTTGGTGAGGACCAGCAAGAATAAGCTAGATACAAGAAACAACATAACATGTGCAGCTTTCTGGGATAGAGGTTGGTTAACACCTTTCACAATTCTTAACATACCAGGGCTCAATTTTCATAGTGGGTAGTTTTGATAAGAACATTCTCTTGGCTATCAGACAGTGGTACGAGAGTTGCACCGAGGAAAAAAATTGGCCTCACTGCATTATATTTTCAAAGACAGCGATGGACGCATGTCTCTACTTCTTATCTCACAGTACCTCCTGCGAAACCACCAAGTCGTCTTGTCTCTGGCCGAAAGAATAACACCATCCGGTAATTCCGTGCAGCGGGGAACCAGCCCTGAACTTCATGAACTCAGGAGGGCCCACCTCCGAATGCGTCTAGGAATCGTGGGCCGAAACACGTGTCGACAAGGATAATTTCTACTGATGACTGGTGGATCCCTGCTGTACTTGCTCCCTGTGAGTTTATTCCTACTGCTAGCTTCCACTTCAAAAACACCATAAAAAAAAAAAAAAAAGATCTTTGCGTTGTTTGTATGTCAGACTAAATGACTAAAAGTATCAGCCAGCGTCTTACAGGTCATCAAAAAACAACAAATGAAGTGGTTCGGACACCTAACAAGAATGCCCTGGTACTATCTGCCACAGTGAGCCACACTAAAACGTTAAAACAGGTATAGAGCGAGTGAAAGACCTCGGAAAAGATGGAGTGATGGCATTGAAAACAGCCTTACAGAAATGAATATCAGTCTTAATAGTGCTCTTGACAGAGCTCATCAACTTCACTGAGGTACAAGGTGGAAGAGAAGAAGAAGAAGAAGAATCAGCTAGTAAAAAATAATAATTATTATTGAATTCGTTTTACCCAAATTCAATTATAGCATCAACCTATTTTATGGCATCTTTTTTGTTTTTGTTTTTTAATATGGGTATATTGTTGTTAGTTTAAATCCTATAGAGACAGAATGGATGCAGTATGTGTCATATTGAGACTTTTTCTTCTGCTGTCGCTGTTACAAAGGTGGTTGGCATGTTGTCTTGTGGTTTACAGCTAGGCTATGATATTTGTGCCTTTCAGACCATAACATCAGATTTCAGCATTCTTAACAGGCTTTTATTACATTCTTGTAAGGAAGCAGAGGAGGAGAGATCAATACATGCTAAAGACCTCAAACATGAGAATCATAATTTCTCTCTGACTAATGCGAAATTTGTATATTCCAGTCAGAGCACCTAGACGTGAAAACCATGCAAGACACAGTAATTCGGGGCATTCACAGTAAGCTCAAGGGAAAAACCACGATGGAGATGAATGGTGCCTTTGCTGTTACAACTAGTAGCCTTACAATGGAAACTATGGCTATAACAAGGGCATTAGAAGGGTTTAGTACTCAAAAGTTCACACATGACTCCGTACCCCTGTCTAGACTGATGGACATGGGGGTGCAGCCTGGAGCTGCAAGAAATGAATATTTGACTAAGGGGACAAGATGTTTCATTAACCAACACAGAACAGGCATCATCAGTTATTTTACACTTGTGGAGCTTTTGAGAAGGAGATTAGAGCACCTATGGATCTGTCTGAAGCACTGTGATGATAATCCTTTCTAATCACTAATCACAGTCCCCTCATACACCAATACAGAACAGGTGTCGCAAGTGTAAACAAACTAAGTAACATGCATAGGATATGCAATGCAAATGGGAAGAAGCATGGACAGAGCTGATACCATCAACACTGCATGGACTAAATTCGGCGAATCTCTGACGCTAACAAGACTGCATTTCTGAGGAGTTAAGCAAGAGATAGTATAACCAACTCCACATGGAAATAATCAGTAAAGGTACCTGCATTAGAGGAATAAGCACGCATGGGAATGCCTAATGTGCAAAGACGTCGATTGTGATAACATAACATAACATGCATAGGAGAAGATTGGAGCACGTATGGGTATGCCCTACCTGCAATGAAGATCTTCTTCTTCTTCTTCTTCTCCTTTTCTTCCTATTCACCATTTGTAAACTCAGGCGGAAAGTCCTAATTGTTCATCCACTTCTAGACTCTAGTCTTGTTACAAAACTTGAGTTTCTCCGTCTCGGACATCATAAACCTCTCATGGTAGACACCCCGCTCCTCCTTCACTTTTACATAGCAGGTTTATCTAAATGCAAGCTGCTGGGTTCTCTCGTCTCGGACAGATGCATTCCGACTTCGAAGAAAACACTTGAACTAATTAGCCGACTTTAAAGACATGTTTGTTAGGAAGCGGTGGGTCTATCTCCCCTCCCCCCCCCCCCTTCTTTCCAACAAACACACGTACAGTGGAGTTCCTTAACACATACTGATCTATTAAATCAACAATGAAAGGTAAAACACGGTTAGTTTTAAAGTAACGAAGTCTTCATACAATATAAATTAAAACATTTCAGTACTGAAAAAGTCAGGTACAAAAACAAAAAAACCTGCAGAAACCAGCCGTAGACTTACTTTACAAGACTGATCCCTTTGCAGTAAGCGACTTCAAGATGAACTTAATGTCAACAGTTTACTACTAGTAAGTTAAACAACTTAACTGAAAGATTTGTAAATGTGTCATTTTATATACTTGAAGGCATGCGCTACACCCCGTTCTATGGCCTAGAAAACACATGGTAACTATTTCTGTAACGATACGTAAGAATGGTACTCCTCCAACAGGCACACACAAACATGATAACATGTCAACAAACGTTGTTACAGGTTTTCTTCAGGGGAGGACGGCTAACTGTAACACGTTACGTCTGCTGGCGGGGGCAAAGGTCAAGGTCGCGATGATCCCGGTATTAGCACAAGCGCCAGAACATAGGACCGAAAGGGGAATGGGGAGCAATATATGTTTTAGAGCGAGGTCAAGTGGCCTTCTAGTTCAAGTACACAGTAATAACAATACATTACTAAGGGAGCAGCCGTGGAGTAGCGGTTGGCGCTCCTGCTGCGGACCTAAAGCTCCTGGATTTTTTTTAAAATTAGCTTTGGCTCTAAGGTCGACTCAACCTAAATTAGATATCAGGTGAAGTCCTGGGAAACGAAGGCAACCACATAACCTAACGAGTGCCAATTAGTCTATAAAATATAAATCCAGCACTATCTACCCAATGGAGAAGAGTTCTTTAATAATTATTATTGTGTTAACTGCAAATAAATACACACGTAAATTTATAGTGCATTTTTGACCGGTCACACGAAAGTAAAAAAAGAAGACAGAAATTTGACATTTGCACCAAATAAAAGAAAAAGTCTCCAGGTTTGTAGTATGATGTGCCAGCTTCATAGGTACTAAACTTAAGAGGGTTTTCCTTTTATTTGGTGAAGATTTCACATTCTATCTTGTTTAGTTGATTTCTTTGACCGGTCAAAAGTGCACCTAGACTTTACGGATGAAATGTATAAATGTATACTTAAAGAGACAACATTTAAACATGGTTGGGTGCACTTTAGCTCTCTAGGTGAGATAAGGTTGGGGAGGGGAGCTCATCTCAGCCCCGAAGATTATGGAGGCCTACAAAATGATTAAGCCTATAGGTTCCGACGCCCCTGGCTATTAGGTTTATACAGGGTAAGTTGAGTTACGAATTGACATCACAGCACTCGGGGCATTCCCAAGCGTGTCCCTTCCTCATCTTCAGCAACCAGCGCAGAGTTCCAATACTGATGGTACAGGTCACAATCTGGTTTTATGTCCGTCTTGTCTTTCCTCCGAGGTTTAAAAAAAAAAAAAACAGCAAGTGAGAATATACACGGGAAAAGATAATTATCAAATGTTATATTTACTAAACCCTTTATAATAATGTGTACTGGATTACGCAGAAACGTGGACAACTAGAAAATACAGCAATCGTACATGTACAAATCCTGGAAACCCAATTCAACAGTAAAGACATATAAATAAAGTAAGGACCCTTTTCCACGATTTCGGGCGTATTAAGCATATAGGGTTAGACCTACATTTTAGAGACCAATCGGCACTTGGTGGGTGATGTGATTAGCATCATGCTTAGGCCTATAACTATTTAACACAGTCATATTGTAAAGTAAATGACTCTTTTTAACGCCTTCAGGCAAATTGTGCATATTTTTTTTTTTAGTATCTAGAAGCCATGAGTTGTTAACCCTTAGGCTCGGTATTATGGATATCGCAACCTTTCGGCCTTGATTCCATTGTAAATACCGTAAATCTGGGAGAAATTGGGCTTTTCTGCCCACCCCCGGGAGTGAACCCGGACCACAAGGAGTTCGTCACCCGGTCACCGCGCAATCCGGTTTAGCCATCTACGCTAGCGAGCCGGGCAATTGTGCATATAAAGCTTGGCCTATAGTTTATAGACCAATCGACACCCGGTGGATGCTGTGATCAGCATTATGCCGACCACCTTTACTTCCAAGGACTTTACCTGGTACCCACTTTCTGAATAGACCTGTGAGCCGTAGTTATTTTTGAAACAAAGTCCAACTCTGTTGGGACTTAAACCCACGACCTTCAGATCCGAGGTCGAGCGTCTGGTCGCAATTTAACCAGTAGAGTCATTTATGAATAGAGCTGTAATATGGAAAATGCTACCCAAAATCTTCTTATTCTTTGCGTTCACCGGCTGTAAACTCCGGCAGAAAGTTCTTGTTGTTCGTCCACTTCTGGACTGCAGTCCTGTTTTGAAGAAACTACCCAAAATAAGATATACTATAGCAGTAGATGTTACATTAACTCCTCAGACGGGGATTAGAAAAATGGGAACGGCAATGATTTCCAAAATTAAAAAATACTACTATAATTAAAAATACTACCTGTATAAGTCATACTAATTAATTTTTTATTAAAACCTTTGTCTCTAGTTGAATTGCATACCTTGTTTTCATTTACTTCACTAATGTAGTGTATAGAACAAAAAAGTTGGGTTGAGTTAAGTTGATTCAAGTACCGATATCACAGCACTCGGGGCATTCCCATAAACGCTCCGTCTCCATCTTCAGCAGTACCAGTAGCAGTCTGATTATATGTCCATCTTGCCTTTCCTCTGAGCGTCGAGTATTAGACAGATCCCCTTGTTACTTCCCACTCTCACCAGACTAAGGAAACATTTTCTGTTCCAAATTGTACACTGGCTCCCATAAAGCCTTGATCACATCTGCCTTATCATGCATCAGTATTCCACCAAGTTGCGCAGAGCCAGCCAATCTGTCAGCCTGTTGTTTTCTAAACATACCGGCATCGCTCGAAGAAAATCCAGTCAGCAGTGGGTTTCGATCGCGGTACGTTGTAATTACAAATCGGACTCACAACGCCTAAGCCACGTACGCCATTTATGTTGTCTAGAGAACACCACAAAACAGACGCCTTTTCTGGGTTATCGACATCACTCATTTCTGTACACCAGTCAATCTCTGTGTCTACTGTTGCCTGTAGGTCCTGGGCAGTTCCCTGTCTCTCCCCTGCCTATAAGCGAAAATATCATCTGCAAATTTCAGTATTATTCCGACCCCTGGGGGTTCTAGGTTGTAAACTCCAATGAAAAGTTGTGGTTGTTTATTCACTTCTAGATTCTAGTCTGCTCCGGAACCTGTGTTGCGTGCACACCCATTTTACAGATCTGACTCAATGTATGCAGACTGCTAGCTCTTTGCTTTTCAGGCAGAAGCACTCTGACTTAAAAAGCAGCTCCTAATTATTTGACTCTCATGAAATCATTTTTGGGGGTAGGCAGAGGATCTGTTCTTTTTGTCCCCGCAATAGAGCCCCAGAACACATCCTAGGATTTTCTAAAGTTATGAGGCTGCCCTAGGAGATTATGGATTGATGACATTAAAGAGCTTCTACGTTGACACAGAATGACAATAGACAATGCTGCCCATCAAGCAATGGATCACAATCTGTTCCTCCCCACAACGCTTAATTCCAGAAGTGGAAATTGATGATGATCAGGTATCTCAGTTGGCTTTCTCTTTTAATGCGAGACTTGGGATATGAGCTCTAACAATCCTACTGTCCAGAGCGCACCATAAAACAAGCCCCTTGTCTGGGTTGACGACAGCATTCTGTACACCATTCACTCACTTTGTCCACTGTTGCCGGTAGCTCTTGAGCTGCTGCAAACATCACTTGACAATATGCAGTCATTTTTATTAACACTAAAAGCCCGGCTCGCTTGCTCAGTCGGTTAAACCTGACTGAGCGGTGACCAGGTGATGTACTCCTTGTGGTCCGAGTTCACGTCCGGGGTAGGCAGAAAAGCCACATTTCTCCCAGATTTACAGTATACATCACGAAATCAAGGCCGAAGGGTTGCGGTAGCCATAGTACCGAGCCAAAGGGTTAACAACTCATGGTTTCTGAATTTAAAAAAAACAAACTAAAAACTGCTACTTTTATTACTATCTCTATTTACCACTTTTGCGGTGTAGGTTAAAGGGGTGTTTCAGCTGGAGGATTCAGAGCCCCGGGGCTAGCCCTGTTGCCACAGAAGGTGCAGGTTAGAATTCTTTTGTGTGTGTGCTCCTGACAGCAAAAAATCCCCAACCTTACCAAAGATTTGAACCCAGGTTTCAGGCATGAGAGCCCAGCATTCTCAACTGTTTGGCCAGCCGTTTCTCGCTTTTAACACTGACATGAATAAAAAAAATGTACTGATGATTTGGCAATTAACAATTTTATTACATACAATATTTACAAAACAGTAAATAAATTAATTGAAAACATCCACTTAGCAGAAGCATTATTTTTCATGCGGTACTGATAATCATGTCTGTACAGCCTTCTATCTCATGTTTTTTCAATCTGTCTCATGTTCTTTTAATCTGTCTCATGTTCTTTCAGTCTGTCTCATGTTCTTTCAATCTATCTCATGTTCTTTCAATCGGTCTCATGTTCTTTCAATCTATCTCATGTTCTTTCAATCCGTTTAATGTTCTTTCAATCTGTCTCATGTTCTTTCAATTTGTCTCATGTTCTTTCAATCTGTCTTATGTTCTTTCAATCTGTCTCATGTTCTTTCAATCTGTTTCATGTTCTTTCAATCTGTTTCATGTTCTTTCAATCTATCTCATGTTCTTTCAATCACCTGTCTCATGTTCTTTCAATCACTTCTGATATCAGTTATCCTCCATGCTATGTGGCCACTTGTCCAGCATCTTCTCTCTTCCCTGTTGCCATGATATACTCAATTTTCCCCTTTTCATGATGTGACTAAAGAATGTCGATTGTCCTTTTTTTTTTTAAACCAAGGGTAATCAATTATCTTCATGAGTTAATTTGCACCAAAATTTACAAAAAAAAAAAGTAAAGGCACACAGTACTAGATCTATATTTCACAGACCAACTGGCACTCAGTGAATGATGTAGTTAAAATGATGCCGGCCACCTTTACTTCCCAGTACTTTACCTGGTATCCATTTTAGGCTGCGTCTTGGAGTCAATGTACCTTTCATTTGGGGGGGGGGGGGGGGAAACTGGCGTGCTACTGATTTAAACCTACAATCTTTGGGCTCAAGGCAGGCATCTAGTTAAAGTTTTACTAGGAAACTTTGAGGAAGACTATGTTTTACTAAGAAACTTTTTGAGGCAGATTATGTTTTTACTAAGAAACTCTTTGAGGAAGACTATGTTTCACTAAGAAACTCTTTGAGGAAGACTATGTTTCACTAAGAAACTCTTTGAGGAAGACTGTTTTGCTAAGAAACTCTTTGAGGAAGACTATGTTTTACCAAGAAACTCTTTGAGGAAGACTGTTTTACTAAGAAACTCTTTGAGGAAGACTATGTTTTTGTACCAAGAAACTTGCTGAGGAAGACTGTTTTACCAAGAAACTCTTTGAGGAAGACCGTTTTACTAAGAAACTTTTTGAGGAAGACTATGTTTTTGTAGCAAGAAACTTTTTGAGGAAGACTATGTTTTACCAAGAAACTCTTTGAGTGAAAGTATGAAGTGACTGACAGAACCTATCCCATTATTCTTGGATTTCAGTACGTTGTATTTTCTTCTCTGAATTGTTGACGGAAACCTTGACTGCCTGCATACAGAGTGAGCGCTTTTATCTCCATTCCTGGCTTCAGTAGCTTCTATAAACTCAGATATGAAGCCATTTCTGTGCGGAGACTTGAAACTGTCCTGCTGAGGCAAATGTGCAGTACCACTAAATATGCTGGTCAAGTGACACTGATGATGATGATGATCAGCTAGCCCAAATGACTTCCCAGTTGAATCACGAGAGACTAGACAAGTTTGTGATGAACTTGGGGGATCAGTACTGTTAGACCTACCTATGTTGACTTGACTGCTATCTGTCAGTGACAATGGGAGAATGGCACCACCATGGTGATCAAATTTTATCGAGCCTATGTGTTTACCAGCATCAGAACCACTTGAAGTGTTGCTAGGTGTTGACAAAACAAAACCACACCTTTCCTTTTCCAGGTAGCTGTATTTGCCAGAATGAGGGCATTTATGCAGAGAAGTTGCGTGTTGTATGTCTGCAGACATAACAATGCTAGAGTCATGCACAGAATTTGAATTATGTGTGGTCACAGGCTCAGCAATGCCACAGTAACACACAGAATTTGGATGGGTGCTTGCAGATTTAACCACGCTGCAGCCATGCAGCAAATCTATATGTCGTATATCCACCAGCCCAGAAATTCTGTTGCCATTAGGAGAATTTGGGTGTGTGATGACAGACCCAACAGTGCCCCAGATATGATTACAATCACCAGCGTGCAAATCTGCACTACTGGCGTGTAAAATGTTGCTGTGCTGCCGGCTAACCAAACTTTCTTCAAGTTGTGTAGGATGTGATGGGGTATCTGTGCCAGGTAGACATGGGTTCTGTTGTGTGTGACGTGAGGGGGTCTCTGAGTTTTGTGGAGGCTGTGAGGTGGTATCTAAACTTTGTGTGGGATGTGAGGTGTTAGCTGAGCTTTGTGCAGAATGTGAGGTGGTATCTGAGCTAGGTAGACATAAGTTTTGTTGTGTGGGATGTGAGGTGATATTTGAGCTTAGTGTGGGATGTGAGAAGATATCTGAGCTAGTCAGACATGGCTTTTGTTGTGTGGAATGTGAGGTGATATCTGAGCTAGGTAGATATAAGTTTTGTTGTGCTGGATGTGAGATGACGTGTGAACTTTGTGTGGGATGTAAGATATCTAAGCTAGTCAGACATGGCATTTGTTGTGTGGGATGTGATGTGACATATGAGCTTTGTGTGAAATGTGAGGTGGTATCTGTACTTTGCGTAGAATGTGAGATGGTATCTGAACTTTGTGTGGTATGTGAGGTGGTATCTGAACTTTTTGTGGGATGTGAGATGGTATCTGTACTTTGTGTGGGATGTGAGGGGATATCCGAACCGTGTGTGGGATGTGAGTTGATATGTAAGCTAGGCAGATACGAGTTTTGTTGTGTGGGATGTGGTGTGATATCTGAGCTTCGTTGTGAGGGCTGTGGAATGCTGGAATCTTTTATCAAGTTTTCATCTGCTACACAGTCAACATACACCACACCTGTGGCAGATCTTTTACACCCCACACCAGTCATGCATCTGTTATATATGGTATGTGTGGCGGATCTGTTTCTACCACGCACACGACTTTTCAAACCTGATTTTTTACACGAATGAAATATCTGCTCAAGTTTACAAATAGACAGCGATGAGAAGCGTTGTGTAGAATTTATGTTTCCGTCATCAAATCTTTCCTTCAGAAACGTCCCTTCTGTATTTGACGATTTAGTTTTTTCACTGAACTGTCTGAGTGACTGCAATCTACTGTCCCACTTGCTGTCGCCAGCAATGTGTTTACCAGCCCTGTCTTTCAACAAGAAGCTTTGAAAACAGCCCATATCCGTCCGGTCACTAACGTCTGCCCCAAAAGGCCCTCTTTGCTGCTGGACAATTGGAAGAACTCTGGCTGGTCTCAGCGTTGAGACAAACTCTAGCAGCTCTGCATAACTGCAGTGATCAGAGTATGGGATCAAGAAGATGTTTGAATCTTGACTGTAAGGCTGACAATCCAAACCTGAAACATAATTGAATACTAGTTTATGGAATCTGTTTTCTCCGTGTTGGTTCCAGGGATCTGTTTTAGGGAAAACAAAAATAGACCCAGTGCCTACCCAGAAGCATGTCGTAAGAGTCAACTAATTGAGAGCTTCCTTCAAAGTTGGAGTGCATCTGCCTGAGAGGTATGGAACCAGCAGTCTGCATACAAATGAGTCAGATCTGTAAAACGGATGCACACGCAACACTCAGGTTCTGGAACATGACTGCAGTCCAGAAGTGGATAAAAAACCAGAACTTTTCGCCAGAGTTTACAGCTGGTGAATGCAAAGAAGAAGAATCTGTTTATGTTGTAATGTATCCACATTGTAAACATAAGTTTTCGTTCAGTCATTTTCTTTTTGTGCCCTTATAGGTCGCATATGGCTTGTAGTCTACTTCTCTATTCCATTATATTCTGTTCAATCACTGTGATATCATGGATAGAATCCAATCCAGCAGCTTTGGCTTCTTTCATCAACCTTCGCCTTAAGGTTTCTCTTGGCCGTCTGCATTTACTCAATTCATCTATTTCTTATTTCAATGCCTGTTTGGTAATTCTCTGTTCATCTTTTCTCAGAATGTGTTCAGATAACGCCATCATCTCTGTCTTATAACTGTTGACACCAGTGGTTGTCCAGCCATCATCTCTGTCTTATAACTGTTGACACCAGTGGTTGTCCAGCGATCATCTCTGTCTTATAACTGTTGACACCAGTAGTTGCCTAGACATTTCTTATTTATTCACCCCTCTCAAGTTCATGCCACTGTAACAGGTTAGTTGAGAATACCTTGGACTGTCAGAATAACCAACACCGAATGCATGGAAATGGCTGATGAAAGTAGAACAGTATATACAACAATGAGAAGGAGACAAAGTTCTTTGGTCATGTAATGAGAAAAGGAGCACTGGAAAATATCGTGACGACTGGAAAGATCACTGGTAGAAGGCAGAGTCAGACCAAGAGAAATGATGGTGGATGGCTTAAGACACTGGCATGGAGGGATATCATTGGCAAAATTGTTCTAGAACACCAAAGACCGAGATCTGTGGCAACGCATAAACGCCTATGCCAGCTGGCAAGGCACTTGATGATTTAACACATTAGGACACACAAAAATATTGAAAAGTAAAGGACCCTTGTTATGCACTGTGGACCACAAGTATATGGTTAAAATCCTAAATGTTTATGAACCAGCTGGCATTGAATGGATGGTATGGTCAACCATATTTACTTCCTGCTTATTTCTAGTACCCATACTTTGCCTGTACAAGCTTCAAGACTCTGCTCGAACTGACCAAGACCGGCTCCAGCTGATGAACCATGCTGCTGATGTCACCAAACAGGGCTAACGATAGATACGCTAACGCAGCATTTCTCAAACTTTTTTGTTGTCATTATCATCATCATCAGTTCTCGTTATGCCTAGTGGCACATGAGGCTTCAAAGAGGACTTTCCATGCTTTCCTGTCTGTGCAATCTTCAGTGCAGTTTTCCATGTCAAAGATGCAGCATTCAGGTCACTTTCCATCGTTCGTCTCCATGTTGTCAGGCATACAAAAACTGGCCGCACACCTACCCTTAAAGCGGTTTGAATACTTAAGAAAAAAAAAAAACCGTGAAAATGTAATGTCAAGCTGATTTGGTAAAATTTCTGATTACTGCTGTGGCACCCCTGACATACACTCCCGGCACCAAGAATCGCTGCGCTAACGTATCGTTAGTCCAGTTTGGTGACGTCAGCAGCATGGCCCGTCAGCTAAAGCTGGTCTTGGACTGACACATTTCTCACTAGTTATCAAATGAGACAGTGAAAGACGTTCAATTTGATTTCCACTGGCAAAGGAATGCAGTTATGGTGCGACCCGCCTGCAGTGACGTTCGAATCTTGACTAACTAACATTTTAGGGTTCTCCCAACCAAATACATTGTAGAAATCGACCGGGATTTGAACCCATGAGCAAGGTGCCAGAGGTTAAGAGTGACAGCCACTGTGCTACTGTGGCTTCAAGTGTTCTTATTTGAGTCAGCATATGTTATAATGTGAACGTGGTGTACACGTCAGTCTGCCAACATGTTGTGATGTTAACATCTGACAGTTACCAAACATGCTGTGATGTTGTGTCTAGAACAAGTGCCGTAAACAGTGTCTGTTACTGGAAAAATGTCTTTAAAAAAGTGCCAGTACTGCACATTCTTCTTCTTCTTCAGCATTCCGAGCCCTTGAGGTTCACTGCTGCAGATATCACCCACCTCCATTCATCTCTCTGGTTGGCTTTCTCTTTCCAGTTGGTGACATCAAGTGTTTGCAGGTCTGTCTGGATATTATCTCTCTATCATCTTCTTGGTCTGCCTCGTGGAGTGGAAATCACCACTGCATATTGCCCCCCCCCCCCAAAGGACCCTGGTTATATGTGTAACAGCAACACCCATCCTTATTTCTTTGCTTCTGTCCTAATGCTAATACCATAAAGCGTCACACAGAGGAGTTATATGTAATTTCCCGTCTTTTGCTAGCTGTGTCATACTGCATTTCTGTAGTGTCTCTTCTAATCCCTCTATCCATCTCTTTCTTGGTTAATCTTTTTATCTGTAGCCAGCTGTTCTCATGTAGCACGTTCTAGCTGCTGGTTGATTTTGTTTCATTCTTACGACATGACCAAACCATTTGATTCTTTGATGGTTTTGACTTTCTTGTGTTATCATCTTCAGCATACGCATTTGAACAATTAAATCCTCTAACCTGCAATCACTTGACATATGGAAGTGAATCATGGACAGTTGGTAAATTGATGAACAATTGTTTGGAAACCAATGGAGATGTGGTTTTATAGACGAATTATGAGAATACCCTGGAAAGATAAAAATAGTAATGAAGATGTCTTGAAAGAAACTGACTCATGACGAAGAACCGATTGCCCACATCAGAAAGAGGCAGTCTACATTCTTTGGCCATGTGATGAGAAGGAGAAAACTGGGTGCTTTAATAATATCCTACCCCAAACAGGGGAAATCCACAGGTCACGGGACAGTATAATATTTCAGGGGGTGGTAGATAGGCTGCATGCAGTCATGGGACCTAAGCGGCACTCTCTCATGGGACGTAGGTGGGTTGGGGTTAGGGCCAGTTCTAGATGTTTTGGGGTCGTTAAAAGCATCATAAAGCTGAGAAACCCAGTCTTACCACCCTCTAAAAAGTTGGTCTGTACTGTGACATTATCTGGGGTAGGATATGAATAAAGAACTGAAAACTGGAGTACATCATGACAGTAGGAAAGTTGGAGGGGAGGAGAGGCAGAGGGAGACAGAGGAAAAAAAATGCTGGACAATCTGACATTAATGGTATGGAGGATCATCTGTGTCAGTTGATTGAAAGTACACGAGACAGAAGGCTGTGGATAGACATGACTACCACATGGCATGGACTAAGAAGAACTTGCCGTACTAACCTGTGAAAATGGCTGAAGGGATGATAGCAATTGTTGGCCGGGTCGCGTTGAGTTGCTCAATAAACCTGCGGTTGATGGTGTGCATAGGGACAGTTTTGATCCTGCAGGTATTGCCCAGGGAACTGGTAGTGAACACATCGGTAGCAAACAGCATCTGTGACATATAATAACATGCCGGAGAAACACATATTGTTTCATTCAATGTGACTCCAATCTTAGCCAACAGTGACTCCTTGCCAAGCTTTCTAACACCAATAAGAACATGGTGCAATGGATGCTGTTGTATGACATTGACCATCATGCTCAAGCATTCATCTCTGCTGGGGAAGACACATTTTGGGCTGCAGAATGTGTTATCCAGGTATAGAATGTCCACATTTCCGACAAGATGACTGCATGTTTCTATCAGCTGGGGAGAAGATCGGAAATCCCCAGTGTACAAGATGTTTCCGAAATCCCCTTGAAAATAAAACATGACAGCGCCAGGGCAGTGGTTAGCATCATAAGCTGTAACGGTAAAACCCTGACAACCAGGCTCTGACACAAGTTTGCTTTGGTTGAGTTCACAGACTCGTAGAAGTGAGACCGGAAGCCCATGCCTGGTTGTCAGCAAGTGTGCCGTGAATTCTGAACAGTAGATTGGCTTGTGCCAGGAAGAAGTCAGCCCAACGATGTGGTCGCCGTGTAAATGTGTTAGAAAGTGAACAAAGTTGTTGCCCCTTCCCTGAATCTTCCAGTAGTCAACGGCGATGTTAGTGCCATAGAGGATGTGTCCATTCATTCTGCCAGTAATCTTGAACCTCTTCACATTGCTGCAAGTAAACAAAACATTTTTTAAAATGGGCAATTAGTAAAATTCTGTCAAATTAACTCTTTATTATCGACCATAGGAGCTGCTGGTTGAATGGTTAAGGATGCTGGGTTCTAATGCGAAACACCCTGGTTCAAATACTCAGTAAGATTTATGGCTTTTTCTGTCCGCGGCAAAAATAAAATCTTCACCTGCATATTCCGTGGTGGCTGCACTAGCCATGCGGTCATAAATAATCAGGCTGAAAGACCTCTTACCTGCACCGCAGGCAAATTAAGGCAGCAATGTCAGTGCTAGCCAGTAATTAACAAGTGACAATAAATTACAGTGCCTAAGTTGAGTTTTTTAAGCATATAAAAATATTTTTTAAAGGTAGGGTCGACTTATATGCAGGGTATAAAATGCTTGCAGTTAGTATAAGAGTAACTCAGCATTTGAGCTAAAAATCTTGAGGTCGTCTTGTACGCCACATTTATGGTATGTTCTGATAGTTTTAAGTATAAAGAAGAAATGTATGCGTCCAAAGATGTTAAAGTAATAACACTTTTCGCTAGAAGAAACTAAACTTAGAATCTGATAAAATAATATAACAACTAACATACTCGCGTACTTAGAGTACGACAGATTCCCTGGCATGGGCGCCACTTAAAGAAGAGTGCCACGAAGATCAATTTTTCTCTAGAGTTTACACGGCATAAATTACATATTTTTTCAGTGTAAACCCAGTATATTTTTATATCCTTTGAATTTTATTTGCAAAGGCATTAAACAGACATCCTAATAATGCACTATACAGTGAGTAATGGTTAAGGTAAATTACAAAACTGCGTGGGATCTCCCACCCCCTACTTTCCCCCCAATCATTTTGCCACAGGTGCCAAATAACCTGCAAACAGATAGTAGCAGTTCTGAGTGGGCAGGACACACGAGGTAGGTAAATTTAATGATTTGCTGTAAAGCTATAAATTTGTGCCCGTCACACTTGTCTATACTGTTACTTACTTATGTCCTTTTTAAAACCACATCTCCATTGGTTTCCAAACAATTGTTCATCAATTTACCAACTGTCTATGATTCACTTCCATATGTCAAATGATTGCAGGTTAGAGGATTTAATTGTTCAAATGCGTATGCTGAAGATGAGAAGACAAGAAAGTCAAAACCATCAAAGAATCAAATGGTTTGGTCATGTCATAAGAATGAAACAAAATCAACCAGCAGCTAGAACGTGCTACATGAAAACAGCTGGCTACAGATAAAAAGACTAACCAAGAAAGAGATGGATAGAGGGATTAGAAGAGACAATACAGAAATGATTTGCTGTGAAGGTATAAATTTGTGCCCGTCACACTTGTCTATACTGTTACTTACTTATGTCCTTTTTAGGACGTAATTTTTTGTTATTTGAAGCCCCACTCTGGCTTTTGCCAGGGGCCGCAATATAGGCAGGCCATAAAAATGGCCAAATGTCTGAAGGCGGTTTCTGGGACCTCTCCACGGCGATCCTCATCCACATGGTGGCACGTTGTGTCATCGGGTGTTTATCGCTTGTGTGATGTCCTAGTGGGGTAGAAAGTCACTCACTCACTTGTCTATACTATAGGGGCAACGTTCACGTTTTGTATGTGTTTGTTACATTGTGAAACTCGCTGTTATACTTTTCGTTCGGTTTCATATTTTTCCTCAAATTTAAAGGAAACGCCCACTGTTTTTTTCTTTCACGGCATTCTTGTTGGGGAAGGGGGGGAGTTTGGGTCTATTCGTTTTCCCCTAAAATGGTCCCAGGAGCTTAAGTTATAAGTTTTAACAGCTCAAGAGACTGATTATGAGGAATGATAGAATACTATACTGATGTCCTATTAATTAGACAGACTCTTGTACCAGATGCATTAAAAAGCACGAGATAAAAGGGTTCGGTCATCTCGTCTATACTACAGCCGTACCGTTCTTCACGTTTTGTATGTTTCATACAAACACTGTTTGTTATTATAGTATACTGTGAAGCTCGCTGACTGACATACTTTCCTTTTTGAAGTGCACGGTCTGCTCTACCTGAAGCAAGGAACCACAACATACTGCATACAATTAAGCCAGATGCGCAAGCAAAACTAAAGTTTTAGACCAGACCAAAAGTCCAGACGTGAAGAAAAATCATAACTTTCTGTTGGAATGCCACTGTCCGCGAAGTCGAAAAAGAAAACTAAACTAAGTTGGCGGCTTCCTAATCACAGGTGTTAATTTTACTAGGTATATAGACATATTTTAAAATAAAAATTATGACAGCTTACCGCGATATCACAAATTTGTGTTAGCCCTGGGTACTATGATGTCTGGATGCTAGCCGTACAAGAAATTCATCACTTTTACAAAAAGTTTTAGAAATTTCGACTGCAGAAGTTTGAAGTTGATGCCGGAAATGACCACTGCAGCTACAGAAAGTAGCTAAATTCGGCTATCACTTTCTGGGTTTGAGCTAAATGTCTGGTCTACAAAAAGATATAAAACCGAACGAAAAGTATATCAGCAAGGTTCACAATATAACATAAACAAAACGCGAACGTTGCAGCTGTGGAGCCTTCATCGGCACATACATAAAGTGAACAATACCATTCAAAATCACTAAGCTTAGTATCTCGAGAATTTCTCACGAATCGTTTGTTGAACTTCTGATTCTACAGCATCAGCTGGAAGTCCTCACGTCACGACCTAAAGTGAGAAGAACCCTACACAAGTCTGAAACCAGCTAGCATACTTTAACCCATTCCCCTCCTCGCCCAAATTTATCAAGCCTGCACACATGTCTAATTGTGTCTTCAGCTTGCGCCAGCCAAGACCTTCCTCTTTTCAGTCTGTGATCCTTAGCTCTACCAAGGGCTTCGTGCAATAGGTGCTTCTTGTCTGCAACTACTCTATGAGATGTGACTTTGTTTGCAGAACGTTTAGCCTATCTGCAATAGTAGGCAGTACAAGTATCTTGTGTACATCCATGAATTACCCACATATCTTCATTCTATATGCGTTCAAGTTTCATCAGCTGACTGTTTGATATGGCGATCATTCCAAGATCATAATCTATCACCGACAGGGTAACGTTCTGAAACACTGTGAACAGCATTCTTTGCTCCATGTCTATTGCTGCCATGACCTCGTGAGCATTAAGTACTTTTGTTTTCTGGCATTTCACCGCAACTGCTTCCACATGATCCCTAAAGGACAGGCTTCTATCGAAAATGATACCCAGGTACCTCAGTTTGCTGTCATATTTGAGATATTAATCGTGAGGCATGGAAGATCAGCTTTTACAAATCTGTTGTACAGATAACACCACAAAACAGCCGCCTTTTCTGAACTAATGACTTCAGCACACCAGTCAGTCACTTTGTCTAAAGTTGCCTATAGCTCTTGGGCTATCCAATGCCTATCACTTCCCTGACTATATTTGACAAATGGACTGTCTCCTTAAAAAAAAAAAAAATGCTACACAGAATTTTAACGTATTCGTTTAATTTTTATTTCGCCACTTTCATAATCCTGGATACGGACGTGGCAACAAACATTGAGGCAGTGGATTTAAGCAGATGTTGACTGGAAACACTTGTCTCCAGCATCCACGTCTGGATTTACTGTTCTCAGTTACAGCAGCAAGTATAGTTACTTCACTTCCAGACTCAGACTAGTCTTGTTCATACCTGGTGAGAAACTCATGAGTGGTCAGTGTTAGTACGGTTAAACTTACTTAAACGTCAGTCGTTATCTAGCCGGTAAAACAAAACTAAAGTTGCGGTAACCGGGTAAACGAAATAAGTAAGGTGACGACTGTCTACTGACTTTAACCCAAGTCTTTATTTGTATATATAGAAACGTGCCGGTACTTAATGAAAATGTTTATTACAGTAGTGCTGGGGAAAAGTTATGGGTGCCGGTATACGACACGTAACGCCACAAAAACAGCCTTGTGTACACTACAATTAGTATTGCAATTTGTATGTACCATCCAGAGGCGCTGGAACCTGTAAATTCAGGCACCTTAAAGCTCCCTTTCCCTCAAGAACAGGCAGACAGATTGGCTGGATCCGCACCACTGGGTGGTGAATTGATACATGACAAGGCAGATGTGGTCAAGGCCCTTTGGGAACAAGCAACGGTATTAGTAGAGAAAGAAGATTATTATGGCCTAGAGAGAATGAGGCACCTGGGTGTAACTAGAGGGTCTGGCCAGCTCACTACACTCAGAGGAAAGCCAAAACGGACATTTAACTAGATTGTGACCGACACCATCAGTATTGGAATTCTGGGCTGACTGCTGAAGATGAGGATGGAGCATGCATGGGAATGCCCCGAGTGCTGTGATGTCAATTTTTGACTCAACTCTGTATTTTGCCATACAGAGGCGCTGTAACCTGTAAGCTGAGGTACCTTAAAGCCTCCCTCCCCCCAAGAAAAATGTGGCGGTTGGGGGTTGGAAAAAGGGGGAGGGGGGGTTGGAGGGTGTGTGGTACTAAGCCTATAAATACATCCTATACAATTTGTAAGTGGCCAAATGCTCCCTTCAACCCCAACCGTGTAAAGAAAATATGTTTAGAATTGTGTGTAAGTGTCAATATTGCAACTAGCATAGTTAGATAACTATAGAAAATTGAACGATACATGATGTCTACCATATCACCTACCAGGTACCAATTGGTCTATAAAATATAGGTCTGGCACTAGAAACAAAAACAAAATTAAAGTAAAGGTACAGTCGGGAGATGTGAACCAGGGTCATTGCACACGGTTATAAACCATAAGTGCTCTGCCACCAGTACAGACAGCTGATAAGAAACTGTCCTCCTGTGTAGCCGTCCGCACGCAGCTCTGTAGCTACAGCGACGTTCCTCCATTTACTCCAGTGTCAACTCTGCTACCCATTACCTAGAGGCTGTGTGAACCCCTGGAACGGGCTGTGGGCTGCAGCGAGTCGCAGCTAGATTTGAAAGCGAGTCTCCTATCAACTGCACTAATGTGGCCCCATATGGGTCTAGCACTGCATGTCCAATACACCTGAAGGCATGTAAAAGAGTTCATTTTAACGATGACAGATACAAATTACAAGACACAAACTAATATAATGTGTGAGTTGTTCAATATTTTCATCTGATCCTCGGACACCATTTTAACAATGACAGATACAAATTACAAGACACAAACTAATATAATGTGTGAGTTATTCAATATTTTCATCTAATCCTCGGACACCATTTTTATGATGACAGATACAAATTACAAGACACAAACTAATATAATGTGTGAGTTGTTCAATATTTTCATCTGATCCTCGGACACCATTTTAACAATGACAGATACAAATTACAAGACACAAACTAATATAATGTGTGAGTTATTCAATATTTTCATCTAATCCTCGGACACCATTTTAATGATGACAGATACAAATTACAAGACACAAACTAATATAATGTGTGAGTTGTTCAATATTTTCATCTGATCCTCGGACACCATTTTATCGATGACAGATACAAATTACAAGACACAAACTAATATAATGTGTGAGTTATTCAATATTTTCATCTAATCCTCGGGCACCATTTTAATGATGACAGATACAAATTCCAAGACACAAACTAATATAATATGTGAGTTATTCAATATTTTCATCTAATCCTCGGACACCATTTTAACGATGACAGATACAAATAAGACACAAACTAATATAATCTGTGAGTTATTCAATATTCATCTAATCCTGAGACACCATTTTAACGATGACAGATACAAATTACAAGACACAAACTAATATAATATGTGAGTTATTCAATCATTTCATCTAATCCTCAGACATCAATGGAAACCAGTACCTTCAGATATACAGAATTAGATTTCGTCTATCAAATTCCTCCTCGGTCTCATCAGCAACGTCCACAGCTTAGCAAGGTAAAACATATCTTGAGGTATTCATATCTGCCAATTTTAATGTATGGCTGTGAATCCTGGACATTTAATAAACAAGAAAAAACATGTGGTTTTTACATAAGAATTTTAAGAATTCCTTGGACAGCCAAAAAAGGAGTAACCCAGATGTTTTGAAAGAGGCTAGGGTTTAAAGACAACTTATCATAAACATCAGAAAGAGACTGTCATCGTTTTTTTGGGTAATGTTTTGAGAGCAAGGAAACTGGAATATGTTGTGACCACTGGAAAGATCTGTGACAAAAGAGGCAGAGGAAGACAAGGTGAGAAGATTCTTGACAGCATTTCGTCATGGCATGGAGTTGTATCAGCACATGAACTGATACATGCTATGGGGAGGCATGATCAGGAAGCCATTTGATGACTATGATGATTATGCATATCTGAATCAGATAAATCTGTCTGTCAGGGAACTATACCTTTGTAAGTAAGTTAAATGGACTTATCTGATAAATCATAATCATCATCACCATCAGTTTCCACCTTTGCCATTAGGCGTTGTGATGGAGGAACAGTTTACGATTCATTACTTGATGGGTAACACAGGCTATTGCCATTCTGTGTCAATTAATTTCATCAGTCAATCATTTACTTAGGATTTTTCTTTGGGCGCCCTCTTTCTTGTAGGTGTAGTGGAATATAAGAGAAAGGTCTGGGCAACCACTAGTATCAACGATTATTTGACAGAGAATATGGCGCTACATCAGACACATTCTGAGAAGAAACCAGCAGAGAATCACCAAACAGGCATTAAAATAGGAAATAAAGGGATTAAGGATGCCTAAAAGAAACTCCAGGATGAATGTTGATAAGAGAGGCCAAAGCTGCTGGACTAGATTCAGTCCATGATAATGAACTGATTGCACAGTATAGAAAAAAATGGAGGAGTAGACTTCGAGCCCTATGTGACAGGTAATAGCACAGCAGGATAATGAATAAACGTTGTTCCAACAGTCTGTCTGTCTGTCTGTACCATTTCTAACTCTGTCTCAGATGGTTAAGTTGGTGGCTTTCCTCAGGTATCTCATCTCACAGGTGTTACTTTGACATAGATGAGCCTTTGATAATGTCCACGTTTGACCTGATAGCACAGTGTTTAAATGAATATTGTTTTGTAGGTGTGAGATTGTTGTTATATATGCAGTTGTGTTTGTTTTGTATGTTGGTGGGTGTTGTTAAATATGTTGTTATATTATTAGCGAGTGTTGTTGGTATATAGGTAGGTCTTATATGTAGTGCCTTATTTAGGATGTATGATGCCCCTGTGCAGTCATTTATTTTAGGCCCCTTTTTCTCTCAGCCAAACTTCAGAATTGCCATTTACAGACTACCAATAAAAAGCTGTGGAATTATTTACTTCACTTTTAAACTTTGTAACTTTTATTGAAGTTAGTTAGTTAGTTAGTTAGTTGGGTTATCATCATTGCACTCCGGACATGCCCATAGGTGCTCAGATCCTCCCCTCAGTATGAATCCCAACGTCCGATGGCTAATAGTACCAGTTCTATGTTGATTAACAAGTCTTCTGACGTGTCCGGTGTGCGTCTCGTTTTTTGCTGTGCCGATCTTAATTCCCAAGTCTGCCATTCTGGCGAGTGATGTGGATTCACTGCCACCAAAGTCCTCTATCCTTCCCATTTCTCTGAGGGCATTGATAATATCATCATGATCCATAGGCCGACCGTCGGTAGTGATAGCGGATCCAGCCAACCTGTCAGCTCTTTCATTTCCATCAACGCCTGCGTGTCCCGGAACAAAAATAAAGGTGACTCCACGCACAGTGGACTTCTGAATTGATTCAAGCCATTGTCTTCGCACTGAACCTGCCTGAACCCTCCGGATCATACTCATTGAATCACTGAGTATACATATGCGGGTGTATTTTTGTGTTTTTCAAGCCAGGCAAACGCTTGCGTCACTGCCATCACCTCCATCGTCATGCTGCTGGTTGTCATGGAGAAGGCGCCGTTGGCTTCTTTGACTGTTTTGCCCGCTGAGCGTGCTGTAAATGCCCATGCGCTTCTTCTTTGGCGTATAACGGATCCGTCTGTATAGATTATTGCATCTGCTTCGTCTGAATTTTCACCGATGAGAGCGTTGACCTCTGCATTAACAGCAACAGGATTCTCTTCTTTACATCGCCTGTTGAGTGTGACAATACAGGAAAATGTACAAATAAACGCCTGAGGCACAGGTATCCATTCTGCACCAGGTATGATGTCGGTTAGGCTGCATATTTGCCTAATAACATCTTCTGCCCGACCTAGCCACGATTTTCCCCTCTTCAGTCTGTCGCCCTTTTCACTAAAAAGCGCTTGATGCAGTGGGTGTTTCTTATCAGCACATATTTTGAGGTATGCCCGAGCCCTCCACATCCTGATCCTTTGGTTCATTGTTGGAAAGTCAAGTAGATACCTCATTGCTCCACAGGATGTGTCTCTCGTACATCCCAAAATAATGCGCATGGCTTCATTTTGCACCTTTTCGAGTCGTTCAATCTGGGTAGCACTGACAGTGAGGATGGCCAGAGCGTATTCAATGGGTGAAAGGACCAGACCGTAGAATAGAAGTATTAGTAGTCTCTGCTCGATATTGGAAGCAGCCATAATCCTCATTGCAGATAGACCTTTGCGTGCTTTTGTTATTACATGGTCAACGTGTTCCCTGAATGACAAGCTGCGATCGAACCTCACCCCGAGAAACGTCATAACGTTGGTTCTGATCAATACCTTATCACGCATTTTCACTTCTGGTAAGTCCGACTTGACAATGTGATTGTTCAAAGAGAACCATGACACTGATGCCTTCGAAGGATTGACATAGGCATTGGAACCATCACACCAGGCGGCAATTCGATCAAGTTCTTTGTGCATTGTGCTGGCGATCTCCTGTCTATCACGCCCTCGTCGATAAATCAAAATGTCATCAGCAAATGACAAAGTCCTTCCCTTTCCATTCAACTGCTGCTCAGTGATCATCACCGTATAAACGTTGAATAAGACTGGTGATAGCGGTGATCCCTGTGGCAAGCCTGGACATATCGTTTGCGGTTCTGAGGACCAGCTACCACATCTTAGTACAATCTTTCTCTGGAACAGGACCGCAGCAATCCAGTGGATCAGAATAGGATTGACTTCTAGTTTAAGCAGTAATTGCATTAAATAATCATATGGTACTTTATTGTAGGCATCTTCTAAGTCCAACACTGCCGCACATGTCTCTTCTTTAATCTGAAATCCCTCGTACACATCGTAGGCGAAAACTGCAGCATTGAACCATGTCTCTTTCTTCAACCTGTACCCTCCAAGTGTTGATGGGAACTTATCATGTAGTTCCAAGTAGGTGGTCAATCTTTGTGCGACAATTTTTTCCAAAAGTTTGCCAACAGTATTCTGCATTGAGATGATTCTGTAGCCGCAGATCTTTGAGTGGTCCTTATTAGGCTTTGGTAGTGGGAACAAATAACTATGGAGCCATTCCTCTTGTATCTGGCCACTCTGGCTGCTGATATTGAATTCCTTTGCCACGCTTTTCAAATCAGCATTCGACATCATCAGCATGTCATTGTATCGGATGCCGTCAGGGCCTGGAGCAGTGCTGCGCGATTTCTTGAGGCAAGTTCTTAAGATGTCTGCAGTGATTGTGAAATCAGAGCCTAGCTCAGTGTTCTCGCACAGCATCGACAGTTTCATCTTAACCCCTATTCTTGCAGCTTCGTCTTTTTGGTCAGTTTGCTCCAAGTAGCGCGCAAGAAGGGTTTTTCCCTTATCAGCATCAGTTCTCTGCCATATCAGGTCTGTACTCTGAAAATCAGGGATACCCCTTGGTCGTGCGGCGCCGTGCATGCTCCGTTGAAGGCGCCAGAATGTCACAAGAGATCCCTCGGAGCAAACACTCTTGCAGAATTCATTCCATTTCGCTGTCTTGGCTTCTTTCGCAATTAACTTGAAAGCCACTGTCCGCTTGTTGACCTCATCTTTTAGACTGATCAGGCGTTCAGAAAGTGACGGATCAATTTTCCTTGCCTTTTGCCATGCCTTGACAGCGTTCCTTTTTTCTAGCCACGCCATGTTGACTACTTCATTCCACCATGGTGGCTGGGCCCATCTCTCCCGCCGTCTGCGATCTGCTCTTGTTTTGCGTCGCCTGATTTTGCTAATGGCATCTTGCCCTGTACGGTCATATATAAAAGCAGGCACATTGATTACATGACCTTTGTTGTTGCTCTTCTCCACCAGGACGACGCAAGGAAAGTGATCACTGTCATGGTATCCCAGTGTGCTCCACCTGCATCCTGATGCAATGGAGGGAGGCACTAGGGCCAGGTCAATTACGCTGTCAGAATCCCCTTGTCGGGTTGCCATTCGGGTAACCTTTCCGTCGTTCAAGCATACTAGATCGGCAGACACTAGGGCATCCTCCAGGTCTTCCCCCTGTTTATTGGTGATTACATTGCCCCACTGGTTTCCTCTGGCGTTGAAATCTCCGCAGTAAAGGACTTTCTTTTCCTCCGTCTGGAGCAAACTCTGCCATTTCGCTGTATCCACCTTTCCATTGCAGGCGTACACATTGACAATCACAAACTGGGCCGGGCCCAACAGTCTGAGTGCGTGTACTTGTAGGTCGTCATTATCCCACTCAGACATGTCCACCTCAGACGCCAGTATGTGGTCACGAACAAGAATGAGCTGTCCGAGGTGCCGTCTATTGTAGAAGGATTGGAAGCTCGCAATTTTAACAATCTCGTCACCGAGGTGTGTTTCCTGTAGGACAACAATGTCGTTGCTGTAGAGGAGCTTCTCAAAAATGGGTCGGCGTTGACTAAACGAAGCGCAGTTCCAGTAGAGAACACGAACATACCTTAAACTGAGTCTCTCACATTTCAGTCGCTTCCTGCAGGCGCCACCGTGCTTGCCTGTTCGTGTTCTCCTTGTCCGTCTACGGGTTGTTTTGAATTGGTAAATAGTCGCCTTCGGACGTTGAATACACACTGAGGGAAGTCTGAACTCACATGCATGTACTCCATTGCACGGTTCAGACCCCATTCCGATGAAACTTTCACATTATACGTGAGCGAAAATAGTTAATTTGCGCCATTCGCCTCAACGGACGAAAAAGCGTACCGCCATTGTGGCTGTTTACACCGGATGTTCTTTTTATTGAAGTATGTAAGTGTAACTAAATACAAAATGGATTTTAAAAAATTTGCAAGTTGGGAACACTGATGAACACTTTAGGGGGAAACTTTCATAAGGATAAAAGCAGTAAAGATATTGACATTTAAAAAAACACTCCTAGTTATACTTTGCCACTTTTAGAATCTTGCCGTCCCCAAAGCTTTGGCATCCTGTGCAGCTGCACATGTTGCACATAGCCTAAATACAACTCTGATTAAATGTACAAATACATGAAATGCACTGTTACACCCAGTTAAGCTAGTTTTTTATAAATATGTCTAGTCATGACACATTTATTTGACCTTATCAACAGTTTGACCGTGAACTCTGCAAGCGATGGGATGAAGCCATGGCTGCCGGAGTCTTTCGTTACCGCATTGATCATATACTTACCAGAACCATACCAGGGCGCAGACAATATTTAGCGCAGGTAAGTTCTTGTACGAGTTCTCTGCATGATCTCTGAACACAGACTCGCAGTTGGTGCTGGTGTGTTTAGTAATATGACTTTACTGAGTTGAGTGCATGGCGCAACCCTGTGAGCTGCAGATTTCATTTGGAATGTTTTTCTACTATGACAAACGTGGTGTTGTGAACTGTAGATTCAGAAAATGGCGCATGGCCTGTCGTCGCAATATTGGTGGTGCCCTTATGTGATTAATATTGATTGCATGTGCAACTACTGATCTGTTGGTAACTTCTGCTACCGTCGATGATGAACTGCATTTCTAATGTCAGACTGTTTGTGTTAGCACTTCTGATGGCTACCGTATGCTTTGAATGCATGTGTATGCTAGTGCATATGCTGAGACAGCAGTCTGTCAATCTTTCCACAAGGGACTGTGATAAACATTTTGTGTGTTTTTCGTTGGCACAGGAGCGGATAACTATGGGGTGACCGGTTTGCTATGAAGCTGAAACTAAGATTACTAAGTAATATGACTATGGAGGTGATGGCTGTTAACAAAAGCGATGATCTGGCTAGAGACACGAATGTCCCCTCATGTGTGCTTTCTAACTGATTCCATATATTCCATGGAGATAGATACAGGATGGGTTTGAGGACATTAGAAAATCTCTTCTGACAGGTTCATATTTATGGCATTATGGTGCTGGGGTGTCTGTGGATTACCTACCTCCCCGGGCAGCAGCTAGAAATGCCCTGTACCAGTTCTAAAGAAAATATGGGTTGTGTTTCTGCCTTCCCCTTTAACACGTAGGTAAGGTTGGGCTCACAGTGTGTTCATTCCCTGCCACCAGATTGTCTGCTGGTTTCCCTGAGCTCTTCATGGCTCTAAGCATGGCCTAAGCATGAGTAGTTGGGGCAACTGGATCGTCACGTCCTGAGTCCCTGTGCCTTCACGATAGTTTCCGGTTTGGGAAGGGGGGGGGGGGAGGGTGGTTATCATGCTTGTTTTCACTCCTAAGACTGTTGAGCATACCTCCGGCTCCTTCCCTCACACAGGGGGCAGTACTGTGTGTTATATGACTATGGAGGTGATGGCTGTTAAAAAAGCAATGACCTGGCTAGAGACACAAATGTCCCCTCATACTGATTTAATATATTCCATGGAGATAGATACAGGATGGGTTTGAAGACAATGGTTGAAGACTCTTAGGAAATTTCGTCTGACAGGTATTATAAGTTTCATTTTTTGCAAGGACCTTCTGTGGAAGAGGAAATAAATGAGTGGACTGGCTTTCTGGCAAAACCACGATAGGCACATGAAAAGCAGGTGTTCGGGTCCTGCTCCCTGTGCTGTCAGAAAAGCAGGAATAGATTATTCAGGAGATGATGATGAATCAGCAACTTTTACAAAACTTCATGTCAAAACAGGTAGCCAAAGAAGAATAGTAAACCAACACAGAACTGATGTTTAACAGTTGCCGCCTACTGAGGGAGATACTGTAGATAAGACCTGAGTGCTTATGGACTTGTCTGATGTGCAGCGAGGATGACCTTCTTCTTCTTCACCATTTTCTCATCAACTGGGTTGTTTCTGACTTGATTTGATTATGTCATTTCAACTAATTTGATTGTATCAAATCACCTAAATAGATTCTGTAATTTCAGTCGATTTGTTTGTTTCATTGCGGCCAATTTGATGGTGTCATTTCAACTGATTTGATTTTGTCGTTTCAACTGATTTGATTCGGTCATTTCAAGTTATTTGATTGTGTAATTTACAACTGAATTGATTCTGTAATTTCAATTGATTTGATTGTGTCATTTCAACCAATTTGATGGTGTCATTTCAACTGATTTAATTGTGTTGTTTCAACTAATTTGATTCTGTCATTTCAAGCGATTTGATTGTGTCGTTTCAACTGATTTTATTGTGTCATTTTAACTGATTTTATTGTGTCATTTCAGCTGAGTTGATTGTGTAATTTCAACCGATTTGATTGTGTCATTTAAACCAATTTGTTTGTGTTCTTTTAACTGATTTGATTCTGTCATTTCAAGTTATTTGATTCCATCCCGCAGTTGAACACTCTAAGGGCTACAGAAAAAAGGAAAGGCCAGGAATTCACTAAGGTCAGCCAGCCCTTCAATGATGCTGTGTTCAACTTTTCCTGGGTCGGACCAGAGGAGGTCATCTTCAATCTGGAGAACCGGTCATTCAGTGGAGAGGAGATTCTCAGGGTAGGTCTTAGTCTTAGACGAGGTTTCAGCTTCACTGCAATCGGGTTTTCCCCATGCATGCTCCATTCCTGTGCCAGTGAGAATCAAATGTAATGTCCCTCACTGTGGCATTTAAAAACTGGGGAACAGACAATTAGCCCCGGAACAATCCAGAAATATGCACACGCAGTAAATGTAAATTTTAACTGTTTGAGGCCCCATGTCCTCATCGTGAGAGGTGGTAACAGAACAAAGTAGGGGATTGTTAGGTGTGGGCGAAGCATGGTGTGGCCTCGTGCCACGGGACCGCTACGGTAGCCATGAAGGCCACCCTGGGTCACCCCGAAACATCCTGGCCAACGGGGCTCTGGTGAAGTTGCGACAGGCCTAGCAAGCCGGCAATGGATTTATTATCGCTACAGAAAACACAATGAGTCCCTCGACACCCACAGCGGTAAAAGAGGAAGTGAAGAAGAAGAAGCAGAGGCCCCAAAGCCAATAGTAACCAACAGAAATGCAGTTTGTCATTGATGGAAGTGGTCGGGCATGATAAGTTGGCTACTTATGTAGGATTATTTCATATGGTATTTCACCAGCTCACATGTAAACCGGCTACCGGCCATATTGAATACCATTATACAACCGCTGCACAAAAGAAAGGCATTCTACAGGGGAAAAAAACAACAACACAGCTCACAGTGCTGCACCAAGCACTAAACAGTAGCTCAGGCAGCGAAACTGTAGACTACCATCCATGTGTAGAAACTACATTAGCAAAGTGCTGTCAAAAGGAAAAATAACTTTGAAGCTTAACGTCCTGCCATGCTTTATCTTCCATTTTAGGCCTGAGTCGTTCAGCACGGCAGGTAACCTGTCTTGTGTAGACTTGTAAACTTGGAGGGAGAGAAGGACGAACATATTGTATCATAAATTGATGGAGAATGAATATGAAATTATAGAAATTGTTAAAAAGGATAAAAACATGAAAATGAGAAAAAAATAGATTAAAATGTAAAAGACCTGTTTGGGCACATAGGGCTAGAACCTATATTTTAAAGACCAGTGGGGGGATATGGTCAACATAATGCCAACCGCCTTTACCTCCCAGGACATTACCTGATACCCATTTAAGGCTGGCTTTACCTAAGAGCCAAGGTCATTTAAAAAAAAAATGTCCACTTTTCATTGGATTTGAAACAGCGACCTTCTGATCCACAGGCGAGCATCTGACCGCTACACCGTAGCGCTCCCACAGAAATGGGAGACAGAAACACAGTGAAAACATGTTGGTATAATGCAGGGCTGTTCACCTAAATTTACTCAAGGGCCAAAATGTTGAAGGTGGGGATCGTTGCAAGCCATTGGCCCGAGTCCTAGCGAAGAAAGATCATTCTCAACAATTGGCAGTAATCTGCGGGCTTCTTGCTAGACCTCTGTGGTCTGGATTCGACCAGCCGGCTGCAGGTTAAATATCTCTGGTATAGTGGCTAGAGCGAGAGATGGATGAAAACGTTACAAAAATGGATTTAGAGAGAAAGATGAAAGTATACTGATATACATTAATGAATATATACACATGGGTAGAAAAAAGGATTGTCCGCGTCTGTGGCTTAGGCAATGTGAATGTGCTTCCTAATGCTGGGGTGAGGAGTTTGATTCCAACTGCAGGCGATTTGGCAGCAGAATGTCTTGCGTTGGTTAGACAGTAGTATCAAGAGTTTCCGTTCAGAAAGAAGTGGCAAACTACTGAATGTAATATTTTCATAGAAAAACAACAACAGCCCAAAAATGCTGAGATTTGGTTCTACAAAGTCCTGTAAAGGATACACAACTAACAAAGAAATAAGGGTTACAAAATAAAAACATTAGAAGAAAGAATGAAAAGATACATAATATTTAGAGATTTATGAAAATATGTTTCTCAATTATCAACAGGTGCATGTATTGTTTGCTTTAGTCAGGTGACTGTCAAAGGGAAGCAACAACGGAGAGACACACCCTGATTGTCAATGTCAGTCCGGTAGAGTATGGCCACTGTCTCCTGGTGCCTGAGATCGATTCTCACAGACCACAGGTTAGAGTTTTCTGTGCAACAGCAAGGTTAACTCTTTGAGTCCCAGAGGGTTTAGCATCACAGGCCCAAGGGGTAGTCAAAAGAGACGTAAAATTGGCGCATCATGCGTTTATTGGGCTTCTAGGCAGTAACCTATGAACGTATGATGCGTTCCTTGGGACTCAAAGAGTTAACTGAGAGTTTGAAAACATTTTTTTATTGGCACCTTTCGGTCTTTTCTGATGGTAGTGCTATATTGTGCTGTAGGGAGAGGCATAGGAGTTCCGTCCTGTAGTCTCACCACATAGGTATCAGTCTCTCCATAACACAAAGTCTGGGCAGTATTTTCAAGATCATGTGTTGCCCATGCTCATGATCTGTCCTTTGATCTGCTTTATTTAATGTTAAGGAAAGGTAACATCATTAGGTTCTATCCCAGTATCTCCCCCCAAACAGACAGTCAAATATTTTAGGAGATGGTAGATAGACTGCATGCAGTTGTGGGACCTAGGCTAAACTCTCTCGTAGGACATAAGTAGGTTGTGGTTATGCCCAGTTCTAGATGTTCTGGGGTAGTTAAAAGCATCAGAAAGCTGGGAAACCTTCTCCTACCACCCTAACAAATATTGGACTGTCCTGTGATGTCATCCTGGGGGAGATATCCGGAAAGCACCCGCAATTATGTTTGGAACAAAGCATGCTGGTTCAGAAGAGCTGTACTCTGTCCACTTGTCAGAACTTCCCTCCTAGACCAGTTGCCAGCCAAGATTAGGACCTGGTCTGTCCTGCCAAAACATCCAGTTTTCAGGTTGCATTTCTTCTTCCTAAGGTAAGGCAAGTATCCTCCCCATTGCATTTCTCCACCCAGATCTGTTGGCACAAGGTGAGTTGTCAGATTTGGTATGTGCTGCTCAACGTTTGGCGTTAACAGAAAACAGAAACCAGATCCTGTTATGTGGTAGCAAAGTTGGGGGCAGTAACTCCACATCATTCGCCAGAATGATAGACTTAGGAGTTGAAATCGGCAGAGCAAAAAATGAGACATGACAGGCACATTGGAGGACTTGGTAATCAACATAGAACTGGTACTGTTAGCCGCTGGGCGCTGGGGTTCATACTGAGGGGAGGATCTGAGCACCTATGAACATGTCAGGAGTGCAGTGATGATAACCCAACTAACTAACTGATCAGTCATATCTGGCCAAGACCTGAGGATAAGGGTTCACAAATGTTTAAGAGAGAAAGGAGGAGTTTAAGCAGGTCAATGGGACATATAGAGAGGAGGGGGGTGGGGATTGAATGATGAAGAGTGGAAAGAAAAGCTTTCGAGAGTTTAGGAAGATATAGTTGATTTGTGGGAGATAGTGGGGAGGAGATACTGTGCTGTGGTAAGTTGGAAATACAGAGTAGAAAAGGAGATGTAGAGAGAAAGGGAAAGATCTGGAGAGAAGAGGGAGATAGACAATCAGTAAGTGGAAGCTATAGAGGGTTGAGATGCAGAGAGGAAGTTGTGGAGGACAAGGGGAGATAAATAGAGAGCAGAAGCGAGATGTTTAGGGGGAAGGGAGAGTCTTCTTCTTTTTCTACATTCATCCTTAAAAGCGCTGTTGGTATGTTGCGTTGTGCATGTCGTGACAGATGAGTAATTAAGGATATTTACTTCAGAGTGGTAGTGCGTCCGCTGAAGAGGCTAGGAACCAGCTATCTGCACACAAATAGCTCAGATGTGTGAAATTTCTGTGCATGCAAAACTCTGGTTCTGGAAAAAAGACCGATAAAGTTCAGAAGTGAATGAACAATCAGAAACTGCAGCTGGGGAGTTTATAGCCGGTGAATAAGAAGAAGATTTCTGTAGAGGGTTACTAACAATTTACACATGTCTTCTTTAGGTACTCACAGAAACATCACTTCGAGTCGCCATTGAGACAATGCTGTTGAGTCAACACAGGTAAGGTTTGCCTAGTTAAATTAAAAGTCAAGAGGATCGACTTTACTGCACAGGGTTTTATCCCATATGGCTCAGTCTCTCTCTGCGCAACGGCTAGCCGCCTGCCAAGAGCGCCGAACAAAGCACAAACTTCATAGCTCTGGTGATGATCCCTATTGGTAACAGTTGTAAGACAAAGAAAGTTTCACTATATTGGACACATCCTGTGAGGAAACGAGCAGATAATCACCAAAACACTCACTTAAATGGGAAATGAAGTGAGTAAAGGGGTGAGGAAGCCCCCCCCCCCCCCCCCCCCCCCCCCCCCCCCCAAAAAAAAAAAAAAATCACACTAAAATGAAAGTCAGTGAGGGAGGCCAAAGCTGCTGGATTGGATTTTGTCAATAATATTTAATTGATTGCATGGAATGGAATGAAGGAACAGACTGCCAGCCTTATGTGACATATAAGGGTACAACAGGATGATGATGATGAACGAGCATACTGGCTTCTCTAATAACATTCTACATGATATTTTCTCACAGGGGCTTGCGGATGGGCTTCAACAGTTTGTGTGGGCTTGCTTCTGTCAATCATTTGCACTTCCATCTCTACTACCTGGATCATAAACTCTTGGTTGAAAACATTGTAAGTGAAGGTTTTGGTTGAAAACATTGTAAGTGAAGGTTTTGGTTGAAAACATTGTAAGTTAAGATTTTGATGTAAAATATGATAAAAACCTTTTAGGTTGAAAATATCTAAGTTGACCTTCAGGTTAAAAACACATTTAAATTAATTTTTGGTTGAAAACCCTGTAATTCTAGGTTGAAACACTCTGCATTGGCCTTTTGGTAGAAACACCAATTTTACTAAAATTACCTTTAGGCGGAGCTTACTGTAAGTTCACTTTAGTTAGAACACACTTTAAGTTGACCTCTAGCTGGAGCTCACTGTCTTATCACTTTTAGGTAATGCACACTAAGTTTATGTAAATAGACCTTTAAATGGCCACATTGTACATTGACTTTTAGCTGGACACACTGTAAGTTGACCTTTAGATACACACAATGTAAGTTGACCTTTAGTTAGACCCACTGTAAGTTGACCTTTAGATAAATACAATGCAAGCTGACCTTTAGTTGGATGCAATGTAAGTTGATCTTGAGATAGACACAGTGCAGGTTGATCTTTAGTTAGACACACTGTAAATTGACTTTTAGGTGAGCACACTGTAAATTGACCTTTGGATGGGTATACACTAATGCAACCTTTAAATAGACAACCCGTAATTTGACCTTCAGATGGACGCACAGTAATTTGACCTTTAGGTTGAACAATAAAAGTGGATGAGCAGTTTGATGTCATACGTTTCTGTGAAGAAAAGCATGAAACAGAAATGTAACACCCTTATGGTTGTGTGAAGGACAAAATGTAGGGCTGAAATGTGACAGTTGTTTGTTTGTGTGAAAGCAGAGTGGAAAAGAAATGTGACAGCTGTGTGTTTATGTGAAGGAAAAGATATAAGAAAGATATGAGACATTTGTGTATTTGTGTGAAGGACAAAATTTAGGGAAGAAATGTGACATTTGTGTGTTTACGTGGATGAAAAAATATAAGACAGAAATGTAATGGTTGTTTGTTTGTGTGAAGGAAAAAATATAGTGGAGAAATGTGACAGTTGTTTTTTTTCTTGAAGGAAGAAAATAAGAGAAAGAAATGTGATTGTTATTTGTTTGTGTGAAGAAAAAAATATAGGGGAGAAATGTGACAGTTGTGTGTTTACGTGGATGAAAAAATATAAGAAAGACTGCAACGGTTGTTTGTTTGCGCAAAGAAAAATATAGAAAATAAATGTGATTGTTATTTGTTTGTGAGAAGGAAAAAATATTTTAAAAAATATATATATGTGACGGTTGTTTGTTTGTCTGAAGAAAAACATATAGGGGAGAAATGTGACACCTGTTTCTGTGAAGCAAGAAAATATAGGATAGAAATGTGAGAACTGTTTCTTCCTTCATTTATTGTTCCTGTTATATTTGTGTACCTGTGGCTGGCTGCTATCTTGTGATCGACTCTTATCTTGTTGCACACAACCAGCCTGTCTTACCTCTGGCTGGGAGATATTTTGAGTTGGCCGATCACCCATGCCCAGGTTTTGCCCTACAACTTCATGGATCAACATTGGATGACTTGGCCAGGTAAACACTTGTTATTGGTGTCAAAATTTCTCATACTCGTACGTACAAACAAGTAATGGCGTAAAGGGTCCTTGCAAATGATACCTGTCCCATATTTACTAAATGCTCACCTGCTGCCCCGAAGGTTGTGGGTTCAAACCCACATCACATTCGAGTGTTTTCAGAATTAACTTTGGCTCCAGAGTTAACCTAGCCTTAATTCTTCAAATCCCAAACAGCAGTTGATGTGTTACTGACTATTCCCCACATGCCTCAAACATCAATTCAGGTGTCTTCTTATATTTAAGTTTTGGCCAGGGTATATATAAAAAAACAAAATCTGGCAACAAGGTATTTTTAATTCATTTTTCTCCAGGTTCCAGGGTCCCGTTATGGGGAAAACAAGAATAGACCTACTACCTCCCCAACAAGCATGTCATAAGAGTCGACTGATTGGGGGCTTCCTTCAAAGTCAGAGTGCATCTGCCTGAAAGGCATTTGTATAAGCCGAGAGTATAAGAATGGTTTTTATTGACACCTTTCGGTCTTTTCCAATGGTAGTGCTATATTATGTTGTAGGGAGAGGCATGGGAATCCCGTCCTGTAGAGCATAGGAATCAGTCTCTCCATTCTCACCCTATAGGAATCAGTCTCTCCATTTATACAAATTATACAAATAAGCAAGATCTGTCAAATGGATGCAGACGCAAAACTCAGGTCCTGGAACAAAGCTGAAGTCCAAAAATGGACTAACAACCAGTTATTTGCACTTGGGTTTGCAACAGGTAAACGGATACAACAAAGAACAATTTAATTCTTATTCATTTAACACAGTTGAAGTAATTGGAGTTTTCTTGAGAGTATTTAATGAAGAAAAAAAAAACGGCTGATGATATCTCATGTTCTATATAACAGGATTTGAGCACTTTCAACTTACCTGAAACATGCAGAACTGGACGCAGGCTGAAGATATCTCATGTTCCATATAACAGGATTTGAGCACTTTCAACTTACCTGAAACATGCAGAACTGGACGCAGGCTGCACTCTCTCGAAGGACATAGGCTGCACTCTCTCGCAGGACATAGTCTGCATTCTCTCATGGGACGTAGGCTGCACTCTCTCCTAGGACATAGGCTGCACTTTCTCCTAGGACAGGCTGCACTTCTCATGGGACGTAACCTGCACTCTCTCGAAGGACACAGGCTGCACTCTTTCATGGGACATATGCTGTACTCTCTCGTAGGACATAGGCTGTACTCTCTCGTAGAACATAGGCTGCACTCTCTCATAAGGCATAGGCTACTCTCTCGTAGGACATAGACTACACTCTCTCGAAGGACATAGGCTGCACTCTTTCGTAGGACATAGGCTGCACTCTTTCGTAGGACATAGGCTGCACTCTCTCGTAGGACATAGGCTGCACTCTCTTGTAGGACATAGGCTGGACTCTCGTAGGACATAGGCTGCACTCTCTTGTAGGATATAGGCTGGATTCTCGTAGGACATAGGCTGCACTCTCTCAAAGGACATAGGCTGCACTCTCTCATAGGACATAGGCTGCACTCTCTTGTAGGACATAGGCTGCACTCTTTTGTAGGACATAGGCTGCACTCTCTTGTAGGACATATGCTGCACTCTCTCATGGGACATAGGGGGGAGGGGGTTTGGGGTTAGGGCCAGTTGTGCATGCTTCGGGACCATTAATGGTGGTCACATCCTGTAATATAAAACATGTGATATTACCGGCCAGTGACAACAACTAGTAAAATTGTGTGTGTTGTTGGCCGGTCACTAAGCCTGACACCCCTGCAACATAGCATACACCCTGCGACACGGCAATTCATGAATGGGAAGGGAAGTCACTCTCTTTCTGGGCCCAAAAACGTGAGATGTTCCGTTACGTCTTCTTCTGCGTTCATCAGAAGATGTAACCGCATTGTGCCATTTACAGCATGGCTGCAGTATTTGCGCCTTTCGGCAGACACATCTGACTTCTGCAGGCATTTCTTGACAGAGTTAGCCCCTCGAGATTATGTCATTCCTTATGTTATAGAGTGATATTTTACATGTGATCATTATGTTATAGACTGATATTTGACCTTTGATCTTTACCTTATAGGATGATATCTGAAATTTGATCTTTATGTTATAGAATTATATTTAACAAAGGATCTTTAGGTTATAGAGTTTTATTTTTGTGTGTGATCTTTAGGTTATAGAGTGATATTTTTATGTGTGATCTTTAGGTTATAGAGTGATATTTTTATGTGTGATCTTTAGGTTATAGAGTTTTATTTTTATGTGTGATCTTTAGGTTATAGAGTGATATTTTTATGTGTGATCTTTAGGTTATAGAGTGATATTTTTACATGTGATCTTTAGGTTATAGAGTTTTATTTTTATGTGTGATCTTTAGGTTATAGAGTTTTATTTTTGTGTGTGATCTTTAGGTTATAGAGTTTTATTTTTATGTGTGATCTTTAGGTTATAGAGTTTTATTTTTATGTGTGATCTTTAGGTTATAGAGTTTTATTTTTATGTGTGATCTTTAGGTTATAGAGTTTTATTTTTGTGTGTGATCTTTAGGTTATAGAGTTTTATTTTTATGTGTGATCTTTAGGTTATAGAGTTTTATTTTTACGTGTGATCTTTAGGTTATAGAGTTTTATTTTTATGTGTGATCTTTAGGTTATAGAGTTTTATTTTTATGTGTGATCTTTAGGTTATAGAGTGATATTTTTACATGTGATCTTTAGGTTATAGTGTGATATTTGGCAGGGAGACCTATGCAATCAGCTCACACTTGAATCAGAATGACATCGCTCACAACTTGTTCATGACTCGGGGCAGTGTTTTTGGCGAGGAGGACAACAACACACAGACAACCATCAGACTGTTTATATGGCCAAGAAAGAAGTTTACATGTAATGATTGTGTTTGTGTTTAATGTTTGCTCTGTCATAGTTTGAACGAACGAACAAACTTTTTTTTTTCAAAGGGTCACAAATTAGGCACGCAGGCCTGTCTTACATTCAGCCCTTCCAAACTCCCATCTTTGAGAAATAGTAAGTTAGTTAGTTAGTTGACAAATTATCTTTATCATACATCGAACCATCCAGTTCATAAGTGCCCAGATCCCCTCTTCAGTATCTCCCTGAGCGTTTAGTGACTTATGACACCAGTTCTGTGTTCGTTTATCATTCTTCTTTGGTGAAAACTTTTTTTGAAGCTGCAGAGATGTGGTTTTATAGACAAATTATGAGAATTCCCTGGACAGATAAAATGAATAACAAAGATGTCTTGAAAGAAACTGACTCATGAAGAGAACTGATAGCCCACATCAGAAAAAGATAATCTACATTCTTTGGTCTTGTGATGAGATTGAGAAAACTGGAGTACATTGTGATGGTAGGAAAGTTGTTGGGGAGAAGTGGCAAAGATAGACCTAGAAAACAGATGCTGGACAGTTTGACATCATGGCATGGAAGATCTTCTGTGCCAGAGTTGACTAAAAGTACAAGAGACAGAAAGTTGTGGTGAGACATGATTACCAGCATCACACACCATGGACTTTAAGAAGAAAGAATGTGTGGTATAGAACCATTTGTGATGTTGTAGCCATTTGTTTTTTTTAAATTGGGTGTGTAATTATTTGTTTTCTTATTTTTCTCAGCTTCTGAAACAACTAGCACAGATTTGGTGCCCCCTGAAGAATTTAATGTTGCTTGTATAGAGCTGCCTGGCCACTTAGCTGTAAAAGGTATGACTTGACTTTTGTTGAGTTGAGTTGAGTTAAGAATTGACATCACAGCACTCGGGGCATTCCCACACATACTCCGTCCTCATCTTCAGCAGCCAGCGCAGAGTTCCAAAAGTGATGGTACCCGTCACAATCTGGTTAAAAGTCTGTCTTGCCTTTCCTCTGAGTGTAGTGAGCCGGCCAGACCCTCTGGTTACACCCAGGTGTGACTTGACTGTTGTGTACAGAGAATCTGAGGTCAGTGCAGCCTGAAATGTCCTGGGAAGTAAAGGCTGCCGGCGTGATGTTGACCACTTCACCCCTCATCGAGTGCCGCTTGGTCGGTAAAAATATGGGTCTACCACTAAATGCCTTGTGTGTCAGTGACATAAAGAAAGTCCGGTTCTTTATTAATATCCTACCCCAGATGATTTCACAGGACAGTTCAACATTTTATAGGGTGGTAAGACTGGGTTTCCCGGCTTTCTGATGTTTTTAACGACCCCAAAACATCTAGACCAGGCCCTAACCCCAACCCGCCTACGTCCAACGAAAGAGTTCACCCTAGGTCCCACGAATGCATACAGCCTAGGTCCCACGACTGCATACAGCCTGTCTACCACCTACTGAAGATTGTCCCGTGACCTGTGGATTTCCCCTGTTTAGGGTAGGATATTATAAAAGCACAGAAAGTCCTTTTTTACCTCATTTTTCTATGTTTAATATGCCCACATGTCTAAGACGACTTCCATTTCTTTAGCCCAAAATTAAAAAATTAATATTTTAAGCACATTCTGTGTAAAAAACAACCTCATTATAAACTTTAAAAATTTGGGAAATACATTTTTTTTGCACTGAAAAATACAGAACTTTACACAAAGAATGTCTCTGAAAGGTGACAGAAAAATAATTTTTTTTTTTTCCATTTTTCTAGGTGACTGTTATACTGTTTAAGGGGGTTACAAAGGGGGAGGGGGAGGGGGGTTAGGAGGCATGTATCTAAGCTGTTGATGATTAATAGAGAAATGAATAAATAGTTGATGATTAATAGAGAAATGAATAAATAGTTGATGATTAATAGAGAAATGAATAAATAGTTGATGATTAATAGAGAAATGATTAAATAGTTGATTATTAGAGAAATGAATAAATAGTTCATGATTAATAGAGAAATGAATAAATAGTTGACTATTAATAGAGAAATGAATAAATATTTGACGATTAATAGAGAAATGAATAAATAGTTGATGATTAATAGAGAAATGAATAAATAGTTGATGATTAATAGAGAAATGATTAAATAGTTGATTATTAGAGAAATGAATAAATAATTGATGATTAATAGAGAAATGAATAAATAGTTGACTATTAATAGAGAAATGAATAAATATTTGACGATTAATAGAGAAATGAATAAATAGTTGACGATTAATAGAGAAATGAGTAAATAGTTGATGACTTTCAGAGAAATGAATAAATAGTTGATGATCAATAGAGAAATGAATAAATAGTTGATGATTAATAGAGAAATGATTAAATAGTTGATTATTAGAGAAATGAATAAATAGTTGATGATTAATAGAGAAATGTATAAATAGTTGACTATTAATAGAGAAATGAATAAATATTTGACGATTAATAGAGAAATGAATAAATAGTTGACGATTAATAGAGAAATGAGTAAATAGTTTATGACTTTCAGAGAAATTATTAAATAGTTGATGATCAATAGAGAAATGAATAAATAGTTGATGATTAATAGAGAAATGATTAAATAGTTGATTATTAGAGAAATGAATAAATAGTTGATGATTAATAGAGAAATGAATAAATAGTTGACTATTAATAGAGAAATGAATAAATATTTGACGATTAATAGAGAAATGAATAAATAGTTGACGATTAATAGAGAAATGAGTAAATAGTTGATGACTTTCAGAGAAATGATTAAATAGTTGATGATCAATAGGGAAATGAATAAATAGTTGATGATTAATAAAGAAATGAATAAATATTTGATGATTAATAGAGAAATGAATAAATAGTTGATGATTAATAAAGAAATGAATAAATAGTTGATGATTAATAGAGAAATTAATACATAGTTGATGATTAATAGAGAAATGAATAAATAGTTGATGATTAATAGAGAAATGAATAAATAGTTGATGATTAATAGAGAAATGAATACATAGTTGATGATTAATAAAGAAATAAATTAACAGTTGATGATTAATAGAGAAATGAATAAATAGTTGATGATTAATAGAGAAATGAATAAATAGTTGATGATTAATAGAGAAATGAATAAATAGTTGATGCCTTTCAGAGAAATAAATAAATAGTTGATGATTACAGAGAAAAAGGTGAATAATTTTTTACTAAGAGGAATTAATAATAGTTGACTGATAGAGGAATGAATAAATAATTGACGATTGACTAAGGAATGAATAAAAAGTTGATGGCTGACAGAATAATGAATAAATAATTGACAACTGACAGAGAAATAAATAAATAATTGATGACTTATCATCATCATCATCATGTAGCAGGTCCTTTGCAGAACTTTCCTCTCATCACAGTCTGCCTGAAAGAAACTTGGTCTTTCACCAGTTCTCACGCCAGAAAATAATAAATAATTGATAATAGAGAAATAAATAAATAGTTGATGACAGACTAAGGAACCTATAAATAGTCGATGATGCTCAAATTCTTATAAATACTTGATGACAGTGAAAAGAATGATGAGGATTGTAGAGATGAGAAAATGTATGGCAATTACAGGAATTGATTTTAATCATCAGAATGTAAAGATGTATTTAAGAACCAGAATACATTGGTTTAGCTCAGTCATTAGACTAGAACAGCTGAGTTCAGTGGTCAAAATGGATAACTTTAGCTTGCTTAGTAACCAATACATGTTTTTTGCCCAAAGATTCTTGTACAAATGTTTTAGTTAATCCTTGTATGTGTGTTTAAATTCAACAGTCCAAATGTTTGGGTGATGTTTTAATTCACTAATCCTTATTCACACGTGTTTCTGTTTTTCAGAAGAAGACGGCTATAATAAACTGACCGAATCTCGTGCTGATGCTGTCATCGCAAATGCCTGTTTAGCAAGAGAAGAGTATGAGACTGTCCGAGCTGCTGTCATCAGGATGGTATCAGAATAGTGAAGATCTACTCTTGTAAACTATTGACAATATAGAAATACCCGAGCAAGAGAAGTGTGTTCATTTACTCCTGGAAAATGACAAATATTTTTTGATTTTCCTGAAAATAAGACCGGGTCTTAACATTAGTGTTTGCTCCAGAAGGGCCTTAGTGCTTTTTATTTCAGGGGATGTTTTATGTTTTTATGTAAAAAAAAAAAAAAAAAAAATATATATATATATATATATAGTAAAGGTTGTTGCGTATCCTTTACAGGACGTTGCAGAACCAACCCTAACAGCCCCTGGCTGTTGTGTGGTTTCTCTAGGCAAATTTATGTCCAGTAGTTTGCCATTGCTTTCTGGACGGTCGGCTTTCTTGATACCACTGTCGAAACCAACGCAAGGCGCATTGCCCGCAGCTGGAATCGAACCCGGCATCCCGGCATTACGAAGCGAAGTGTTCGCATCGACTTAGCCACAGAGCCGACAATATATATATATTTATTAATATACATAATTTGAGTTGTTGAGTTACTTTAGGAAATTAGTGATAGTATAGTAGTGTTGGATAAGTGAAGAGGATTGAATTACTCTTAAAATGTCACAATAAAGTAGTGCCTGGGCAGGAAAGGAGAGTTGCTTAGAACGTGAAAATATAGTAGTATCTGGGGAAGTGAAGAGTTGAGGTTACTCCTAGACTGTGACAGAATAATAGTACCCAGGCAAAAGAAATGAGGTCTTACTTCTGGAAAGTGACCTGGGCAAGTAAGGAGAGTTGAGATACTCCTGGAATGTGACAGTATAGTAGTACCTGGACTGGAAAAGCATTGAGTTACTCTTAGAATGTGACAATGTAGTAGTGTCTGGGCAGGAGAGGAGAGCTGAGTTACATTTAGAATGTGATAATATAGTAGTACCTGGGGAAGTGAAGAGTTGAGTTACTCCTAGAATGTGACAGTATAGAAGTACCTGGACAAGAGAATATGGGGAGGAAAAACACCTGTGTCTTAAAGAAAGTGCTAGTGTTACATACCACCAGAGAAAAACCCTGGTAGAGCAGCAGGTACCCTAGACAGGGAAGACAGGTAGAGTAAATTTATAGAATAGATAGAGCGTAGAGACCGGTTGATTAGAGAAAGATACAAAAAAGACAGACAGGTAATCTACACAATGAGGCAGGTAAACTAGACAGACAGGTAGACTAGACAGAGAGACAGACTAGAGTGAGAGAGCCAGAGATAGATAAAGAGACAGGCAGACTACATAGAGAGAGAATAGACAGGTAGAATAGGTACGGAGACAGATGGTCCAGACATGGAGGCACTGAGCCGATCTTATTAATTTTCTGTGAAAACGGACCAGTGCTCCTGTGTCAACATGTCCTGTGTTTGTGTGCTGAATTGTGTAGACGTGAGAGTTAATGTACTTTGTTGGCCCTGCCAGTTGTAGCCCTAAACCCCAAACATCAGTGTAGCTGTCAGTTCTTCGTATATCTTATTCTATTGCCAGTTTTCACAAAAATCTAAGATAAACTTCGATTGGATATCTCGACATGGCCACAGACTCACACAAACAGAGAGTAGAGATTGTAAAAATAGAACAGATCGCAAATTAGCACACAAAAAAATTGATGCTAATCTGAGCACATAAATAGAGGATATTTAATCTCACAAATAAACAGATGACATTGGACTATACTTTTACAGCAGAACATATGGAAGGAAGGCGAGAGGAGGCCAAGAAAGAGACGAATAAATGTTGTAGCTGAAACCTGCAAAAACCAGGTATCAGTGAAGCCACAAAAGAAGAAAGAAGATTGGACTATACAAGCAATCTGGTGAAAAATACACAACACAAATCATAAAA